CCAACAAAAGAAAATTACTTTCCTTTTTCAAATACTTTGTTTCTTTGAATGCAAGAAGCAACATTGGAGTCAATTTGTTTCTCTTTTTTTTTACTATCTGTCAAAAGACGTTCCATTCACAGTCGATGAACTTCCCCGTAAATTTCTGTCTCTGACACTCCGTTCCCAGGTTTGAGACGGTGGAAATTTATCTTTCTTACTCTCTCTCCTGCAGGCTTAAACAGTCAAAATCCCCCCCCCTTTTTCCTGCTTCCAAGAGGGGTTTTGGTGGTAATAACTGAAGGAAATTTAGACCTTTATATACGACTTTCCAGACTTTAGCTTACAAAGTTTTTGCTTCAATCTATTTACAAAAAGCGGGAGGCGTACTTCCTGTTTAGAACCTTCCCGCTTCAGTGCCAAATTAAAATGTTTCTTAATCCAATTTTCCGTTCTACTCACGGGTACTTGTTTAGAGTCCAATTGTCCACAGGAAAAAGTCAGCGCTCTCCGGCAACGGCTGTGCGGCTTCACTCCGTAAAAGTAGCGGTTGATTCAAAACACCACGCCACTCACCCCACGTCGCTTCGGATCCCCGAAAAAGGGTTTCCCTGCGTGTAGGGGAGGCGCTTCTGGTGTCAGCCGAATCCCACGTTCCCAGGCTTCCTCCGCCTGGGATTTTTAGAGGGTCTCCGCCTTCGCCGCGGCGGCAAGACCCGATTTTCACGGAGCAGGTTCCTCTCGGTCAGAGGAACTCCGCCATTGCCAATGGCGCTAACCCGGAAGTTTTCGTAATCAAATTATTAGCCTGTCATGTTGCTTTTAGATTGCCAGATTTTTCTGTTTGCAACATGGGGGATCTTTGCTGTTCTCTTATAATGGCAGTGGGACCCACCTGAGAGGTGTCGGAACTGAGTTCCAGCGAGTTCCAGCTGAAAAAAGCCCTGCTTCTATGCATGGAATACAACTGAACAACTTAAATATATGTTAGATCAGGGGTTGGCGACGTTTTTTGAGGCCGGGCCGATCCACTCCCCGTAGACCTCTTGGTGAGCCGGAGCATACATGCCTGTGCGCACCTGCGCATGCACACATGCTATTTCTGGCGCTCTTCCGACCCGGATGTTGGTCCCTGCAATGAGAAAAGAAATGGCACCATGGAGGGGGGGAGCACAAAATCCCCACGCCGATCCACGGAACAGCTGTGGGCCGGTTCCAGGAAGCTCATGGGCTGGAACTGGCCCATGGGCCTTAGGTTGCCGACCTCTGTGTTAGATCTCTCCCTCCTGCAACTCTCTTTTAGTGAATGGTTAAAATAGGGGTAAGGAAAGTAGATGAAGTAATGCAGTGGAGTACTTATGTTTAGGGATGAGACAGGGGCTTATTTATTTAGGCACAAGCCCCCAGTGGAAGATCAGCTCAATGTCCCAGTAATCAAACATCCTGAACATTTCAAGAATATTTTGCTTCTGATCCACATTAATTTTCTTCATTATACAGTGACCTAGAGACATCATTGTCATATCTGATGAGCTTGAGGTTTAATTGTAGCAATTTTGCCTCTTCTCTTACCTTAATAAAATAATGAAGCATGATTCTTCTTTCAAAAACTGGGATAAGACCTGACATTTTTTAAACACACTTGACAAGGATTTGAAATGTGTGCACCTTAAACTCATCTTGAAGACACTAGCTTCACTTGTTATTTTTTAATTATCTTTCACTCTGTCCTCCTTAATTTGGGATATTTATACCTGTCACTGAGCTGTGCCAGCTAAAAGAAAAAAGGAGTATAAATCATTCTTTCTCTCTCTCTCTCTATATATATATAAACTGAAACAAAATATTATAACAACAGATGTTTCCCCTGCAGTAATAGTTTCCGGTCCTAAGCTAAAAATAAAAGCTATTATGCCAGTAAATGAATATAAATTAAAAAATAATCTACTAAGGAATTTCCTTGCTTATCATGTTTCCATAAAATAAGTGAGTTTATCTTCATGGTTATAACCGTATATCCATGATAATGATGTTTTGTCAGTTGCAGGAAAGTGTATTCTAATTTTCATTAGGGAGTCTCTATGAAAATTAATTTCTAGGTTGAAAAATATAGGATGGCCTACTAAGTATGGGAAATTCTGCTCATACTTTTCAGGTTCATGTAATTATTATTACTATGGTTTATTGTAAAAAAAAAAAAAATACAGTGCCCCCCATGTAATTTTGAATCACATAAATTAAACTTGTGTACCCCACCTCACCCCCGAGTTCAAATATAAACCTCCCAGAGATTGGGAAGGGTATTCACATTAATCTACAGCAGTAGAAAATAGTAGATAACCACAGTAGGTACCACTGCAGTGGGAAGGTAAACAGTGTTTCCGTACACTGTGGTTTCTGTCGCGGTGTCCCGTTGCACCAGAAGTGGTTTAGTCATGTTGGCCACATGATCTGGAAAGCTATCTGCAGACAAATGCCGGCTCCCTCAGCCTGAAAGCAGAGTTGAGCGCCACACGCCATAGTTGAATTCGACTGGACTTAACCAGCCGGGGTCCTTTACCCTTAACAGCAGTAGAAAGATGGTCTTTCAATAAAATATTTGTTTTTGCATTTGGCCAGAAATGCTAAAATCAGAATCTCTATGGTAACATAGAAATTGTTGAGACTTGTAGGTGTATTTTCCATTTACTGGGCATTATACTAGGGGCGGAGAGCAGGCAGGGGCGTGGCTGGTGCACATCCCGGGGGTGTGGCACGCCGCCCGCGGGGGCATGGCACCTAGCGCGGTGGGGGGGCGCACAGCGCGTGTCCGGGGGGGCAGTCACGATGGTACCCTGCTCCCTGATAGTGCTGGGGGCGGTGCGCTCCCCGCGCGCGCCCCCATTCCTCCGCCAATGGGCAGCAGTGATGTATCTTTAGCAAAGATCAGAACTACCTCATACCTGTCAACTGCTCCAGAAAAAACGGGACATCTCATTTTTTTCTCTCACAAAAGGACAGTGGTCAAAGTGGCTGCCATGATTTTGCACGATTTTGGGCTGCACTTTTTTCAGGCATGGCACCCAAAAGCACACATTTTGGGGTGCTGCCCAAGATTGCTGCCCTGAAAAAAGCATTTTGGGGGAGCAGCGATTTTGTGTAGCACCCCAAAACATTCATTTTTGGGTGCTGTGCCAGGAAATATTTGCTGTGATTTGTGCAGGAGGGTTGATCTGAAAGATTGTGTCCTGGATATGGGGGTGCATTGTATTGGAAGAGCCAAACTAGAAGTTACACAGGTCAGAAACTTTGGCCTTCCAGATGTCACTGGACTACAACTCCCATCATCTCTGATAATTGACTGTGCCAGCTGGGGCTGATGGGAATTGGGAGTCCAATAATATCAGAAGTTCCGCACCTGTCTTACACTTAACATGTGGTTGCTACCAAAAATGGCTGCTTGTCTAGATTCCCCCTCCCTTTCCCTGTCTAACAGAACCCATCTGTGCCTAGATGGTTACAATGCTGTAGTTTGCTCTGATGCTGCTCTCCAACATTGACTGCTACTTATACTTATTGGGTAGGGGGAGTGCCACACTGAATGTCAATGTAAACTATGAAGCCTGCTGACATAAAACGATGGCGTGGGAGAATAAAGTGTGGAACAGAAGATGGACCACAGAGCTGTGAGGAAAGACATATGCAACATAAGCTCTTCTGGTTCTACCTCTGACTTCTGTGCATTCAGCAGAACCTCTGCATAGCACCTATGTGCACATAAGCTTTATGCATCTAGACTCTCTGCATAGTCAAGGACCCTGTTTTTTCCAGGGTGTACAAGCCCATATACATGCAAGATGAATGCGTGTAGTTTCACATCAGAGGTTCTGCTGCATTGATAAAGGTCAGAGCATAGGGCCGAAGCTTAGTGGTCCAGCATATACTCTAGTTACAGGTAGGTAGCCTTGTTGGTCTGCCGTAGTTGAAACAAATAAAAAAATTCCTTCCAGTAGCACCTTAGAGACCAACTAAGTTTGTTATGAAAACAGAAGTGCCTGGCGTGCTCTGGTCCATGGGGTCACGAAGAGTCGGACACAACTAAACGACTAAATAACAACAACAAGTTTGTTATTGGTATGAGCTTTCATGTGCATGCACAGTTCTTCAGCATATACTCTGCATGCAGAAAGTTCCTGGTTGAACTCCTAGCATCTCAGGTGAAAATAAAGATTTAGCAGGAGATATCAAAGACCTCTCTGTGAGGCAGACTTTGGGCAGCTAATGCTAGTAATAGGAGGCAATACTGGGCTAATTGTGCCAATGTATAAGGCAGCTTCATATGTAAATCCACTTCCTCTCTAGTTTAGGTGGAATTGTGGCTTTGTTGTATGGTAGAACCCTGTGGAACTTAAAACAAGTATGAGTTAATGTTAACACTTGTATGTGTGAAGTAATTAAAAGAAGGGCAAGCAAAATGTTTTTAGTGTGATTTATCTCATTTAATTTAGAGAAATCCAGTGACAATGAAGCTTCTTGTTACTTGCAGTGACACCCAAATAAAACAAGGACTAATTTCATTGGTTTTGAAAATCATGCTTGCTTACATTTCAGAATGTTTCCAGTTACAGGCAATGTCCCCTCCTGGGTTAACTTGATGTTAATTCACATTAAGTTATTCATTTTTTCCCCTTCACTCTACCATTGCTTATTTTGTAGTACTAGGAGCCAGAACTGGATTCTTGTAAGGTTTTTCCCAAGTTCCCTCCAATGGTGATCTGTTTGCAGTTTTTAAAATTCTGACATGCACCATGTTGCTGTTATAACACATGAAATGTGCATTTACATTCTTTACTTATGTAGTGTTCATATTAGATTACTTTCAAAAAGCTTTCTGTGACATTTTTACAGTTTTAAATTCTGGGAATGTCCTGTCCACAGTGATAGAAAGCAGTTTCCAGGAAAGAGTTAAACTGATGTAATATTGTAGGGCGGAAGTTTAACAAATGTGAGAACTATATAAAGCTATGAGATCAGAGGTTTAGAAACATCTTTTAGAAGGGAATCCTATCGAACTCAGTACTGACCTCACTTTTACTCATAGGCACTGCTTAACAGTTCACCGTTGGAAATAATGTTACAGTGGAGTTTTAAAGTACTGAAGGAAAGGCATTTATTCTGGACAGTGTTCTGTGCTTTGAGCCTGCTGGGTGAGTATTTGGTATGGGGGGGTGGACCCAACCTTACAACTGCTGTGTTACTTGCAGACAGAAAATGAAGAATGAATCTTGTTCTGCCTGTGCCATAGTTATTGAATACTGACGGAAGTTTATCTCTTGTAATATCTGTTAGATAGCTAGATGCTAATAACATTAGAAGCAAACTGGTAAACAGAATGCACAGCATGTAAAGGAATAGTGCACACAACTGAAATACTCTAATTAGTGGCATATAGAATTTTTGCAGGTTTTATAGTTGTATAGTTGCCCATGTGCAGAAGTGGCATACAGAAGGCTATCAGATGCACACATTTTATTCATGGTTTTGCAATTCTCCATACTAGACATCTCCAGTGATTGTTAGCAAGGCTTCAGTATCCCAGAGACTAACATACATTATTTTTATTAAACATAAAATCCTAGACTGTGTAGCTGAGCGCGTCTGTTTGTAGCCTGCTAGCCTATAGTGGTTGGCAGAACTGACTACTTTTGGTAATTACTGTTACTATTTTTGAATGCTTATGCATTTTATTTGTACAACTTAAAAAAGTAATGATTAGGGAATGTTATGTTACTATTTTCTAAGTTGAAGGTACTGCATAGTGTATGTATAGCACAACTGAGTATTTTGCACACTTTTGCAGCCAGACTACTTTAATTTCTCTTTATCCACTAGACCATAAGACCCTCCTTAGACAAGTCACTGGGCTGTATTCCTGTCTTTTTAATGTTTATTGCACTTCTTAGTACTCCCCAAAGGATCGTGCTTATCCTGCTCTGAAGCTGGCACGGCCTGTTTATTTATTTTGTGGGGTTTTGTTTTTCCTTCTTACATCTACTGGCCAAGTCACAGTTCATATGGCAGTTGTATTTGCTGCCCATGTACATCAAGTGAGCAGGAGAGATGTGTGTCTGCAGCTAGTCACAGCATGTTTCAGGGACATCACTTTGGTGGCTATGCAATTAACTGCCCTCCTGTTTTAAACCATTCAGGTTTAAAAATCAAAGATTTTGAAAGGAAAAAGCAAAGTAAGGCCTAATTTGTGTGGCTGCAATTAACTTTGTAAACAAATAAATATAATATGGTCTTTTTCAGTGTTGTGTGTGAAAATTGTCTTGTAGCTGGCTTTCTAACATCCAGATATAGGTTTTTTTAAAAAATACATGTGGAGTTGCTACTGCTGCAGTCTCTGCAAGTTCAGTGTTGAACTTTATTAAACCCTTTTGAAATTTTATCTAATTTTATCTAGTAATTGGAAAAGCAATATGATACTCTATTCCCTTTAAAAGTAGGCTTCACTCCACACAATTACTTGAACCAGCTAGGGAGAAAATCATGTAAGCACATTTACCAATGAAATCCAATGTTGAATAAACATAGGAATCGGCATGCATCTCTCTATTGTGACTCTCATTCATACTACATTGAAAGGCTTCTAATGTGAATGAGAAGGTGCATCCAGGTCCATTAGTTATGTACAACTAGAGCTGGATTTCCACTGCAATTAGAGATGCTTTCCAACACATGAATTTGCATTTTGAAGATGCACATAGGGTTCTGTTTTTGGCTCCTGTCTACACTTGGCAAATATTTTCAAGGTAATTTTACGCCTGTGTGTCTTGGCTTCGTCTTCTGCAATAATACTTTATCTTCTTGGGCATATTGCCTAGAAATGTATGCATGAAAAGCATTATGTCATAGTTAAAGCAGTGGTGGAATGCAGGCATACGAAGCTTGCTTAGCTGCCTAGATATATCCTCATCAGTGAGCTTGCATTTTCTATTAGGGAAACATGGTTTTTGTTTTTGTTTTGGTAAGTAAAGCTAGTAGTCACCATATCTTGGGCTGTGAACGTGCTGGATTTCCCTCTCTAAAACATGAAAAACAATTGGGTTTAATTTGTGTTCTATCATGGCATGCAAGTAAATCCCATGCCAAAACCTCCATCACCTTAGAACATACAGTACACTATTACTAACTTTCAGAAATATACTAATCAAACTGAATATGCTTCAGAAAACTATCAGCTAAAACCATGCATTTCTCTGAGATGTAATTGTTTTTGTTTTTATTTTTATTTTTATGCTGTGAACCACCCTGAGATCTTCAGACTTAGGGTGGTACAGTGGTACCTCGGGTTAAGTACTTAATTCGTTCTGGAGGTCCGTACTTAACCTGAAACTGTTCTTAACCTGAAGCACCACTTTAGCTAATGGGACCTCCTGCTGCCGCCGCGCCGCCGGAGCCCAATTTCTGTTCTTATCCTGAAGCAAAGTTCTTAACCTGAAGCACTATTTCTGGGTTAGCAGAGTGTGTAACCTGAAGCGTATGTAAACTGAAGCGTATGTAACCTGAGGTACCACTGTATACAGATTGATTGAATAAATAAATAAAGTTAGTTAAACACATTAAGAACAAGAGTAATTTACAGATACATTCCTACGGTGACAGTATTGTGAGGTGGCACTTGGTAGTTGAGGAAATGTCCCGTCCCCCCTTGGTCCACTGGCTGTGTACACAACATACATTTAAAGCACCCCACCCCCACAAGAATCCTGGTAGCTGCAGTTTGTTAAGGGTGCTGGGAAATGTAGTACTGTGGGAGGAGGTAAACAACACTTTGTTTGTATGTGGATAGTATGTCATTTTCTTGGCACAAAGGTCAACCACTTTTATGTCTATTTCCTGTTCCTAATTTTCAGCATCAGTTGTGTTTTCCCAGGCTACCTTGAGGTATGTGTGGGTAAAAATATTAAGTGCAAAAATGAATTATACACATCCAAATGCACTGTAGACTTGAACTGGTAAACCTAAGCCAGTCACATTTTTCCAGCACATGTTCTCTGCATGCCCACAGCTCTTAGGTCATACACAACTCCCTTTCACACATTACATGTTTACCACAGCAAACAGAAATGTAACCATAGCCTACACGATTGTGAAGCAGCTTTTAGGTTTTTTGTTCTGCATAGATAGTAGTACACGTGATGACATTCAGAGGCATCAAGTGATACATTGATCTGATCCTTCAGGGTTCTGCAAGACATCTATTGTGAGATGCTAGTTTCTCAACTCCCACTGATTTATATGAAAATAAGGTCAGTTTTCCCAATTACCAAAAAGATGGCTTATGTTCTGAGAGCATCTTATTGTAACTTTATTTGTTTCTTTATTTAACTTGATTTTCACTGTGATTTCATAGTTCACACACACTGTTAACAAAGTTACACTGTTTTATGTGCACATGTTAAAATGTAAAGTATGAAAGCAACAAACATATTTTTATAAACATGCCTATTATATGCTACTAGGGAGCTAGGATTGCCTATAGCCCCCAACCCCCATGTGTGTATGCTAAGAAACAAATATATGTTTGCCACTACATAATGTCTGAAGCAAGAGAAAACTCCTACATGGAAACAACTTCACTATTGTAAAAAGCATGTAACAACAACAACAACAACAACAATTTATTATTTATACCCCGCTCATCTGCCTGGGTTTTCCCAGCTACTCTTGGGCGGCTTCCAACAAAATATTAAAAATAAAATAAAACATCCCTAAACAGGGCTGCCTTCAGATGCCTTCTAAAAGTCAGATAGTTGTTTATTTCCTTGACGTCTGATTGGATGGTGTTCCACAGGGCGGGCGCCACTACCGAGAAGACTACTACCATGCCATATGTGGCAATCTCAACCATGTCTAAATATGATTTGCAAGTGTGATTTTTATATACAGGAGTAGTAACACAGTGCCCTCCTTATATTATTGAACTCCAACTCCCATCATCCCTGACTATTAGCCATCCTGCAGGGTATCTAACAACATCTGGAGGGTGCCATGTTGTCTGTCCATGCTATGTAGGAAGCTTTACCCCTTGAAGTGGATCCGACATTCCAGATTTCAGTCCTGATGACCACCATGTTTGTGGTCAGTCTGTTTTAAATAAGAATGTTGCAATCACAGCTGCTTGTTAATTATGTTATTTAGAAAACTATATCAATATACAAGCCAGCTTCTGCTTTTCATGTCAAGATAATGTTTTTGATGTTGCTTTTGGCCTCATAAAAGATGCTTAAATATTAAATTAACGGTTCAAGAAAAGTTTCCTTTGGCATGAGTAATGGAATATTCAAGTAGCCTGAACCTGACATTCCCTACAAATTAATAATTATACAGTTTGGATGCTAAATTTCATTTTGACATTTACAAATTAATTTTATTTGAAATGTGTACCTATGAGATGGTGTGTTTTAGACTTAAGTGCAGTCTAGAAGAGAAAATTCATAATGTGATTAATCATTACAGATTTAAATTCAAATAGTTAATAAACAACTAAAAGACAAATTACCTGAGCTGAAGTGAAATATTCAAGCAATTACATTCAAATTATTTCAGTCAGCTTTCAAAGTTTACAAAGATTATAGAACCCAGATATTCATATAATTTAATCCATTGTCTGAAGAATAAGCTATTGAAATAGCAGGCTAGCAGCCAAGCAAAAATCTCTTTTATCAGTTTTGTCTGAGTGTTGATTAGGTGAGCATGCTTGCAATGATGTAATGGCTTAAGCTGTCATCCTCTCTCCTTCCCACATTCTCTTCGCCCTTTTTTGGCATTGTTCGTGACTGCAAAAGCCCACACCCAAATCCTGTCTGGGCCATATGGAATAGGAAAAAGGGTTCAGGAGGGGGAAAGCATAGAATTTTATCGGATATTTCCAGAGGGAAAGGGACTCCACCCTTTGAATTCCTGCCACATGGCAGGAGAGGAGCAAAGCTAGAGATTCATGAGTAATGTAGCTCAGAGTCCCCAAAGGTGGTGCTCATTATAACTGCTGGAAGAATAAAATATAAATACTGATGGAATTCGTAATCCTGGCCTCTCGATTTCAGTTATTTCCCATTTCATCCAAGATATGAAATTCTGGATCTGAGCATTATCACTGCTAGCATGGTATGGGATCAATATGATATTCTTTTGCATTCTGAGTACTAATAAAGGTGCTTACCACTACCTCCCATTTTCATTTTTAATCTCATTCAATCTATCATTATAATATCCAGTTATAATTGGGCAATCAAACAAGTGGACATACCATTTAAGAGGGCTGCGGCTGCTTTTCATGTTACTTTTTAAAGTTGCAAGTTCACCATCTGGAAGATCTGAGAAGACACATAAAATCATTAAGTGAGACTTAACTGAGCAAAGTGTTACTGAGCGAAGACTTGTGTTCAGCATGTCTCAGAAATTGATTCAAAAGTCTATGGAATCTCTCTCAGAGACATAGATGTTTATAATATTACTCATATTTCCCCATGTATCATCAGATACAAGTGTAATTCCCAAAAGTATATCCATGCAGTAGAGACTGTGAGACAGTAAACCATATTTATTCCCCCCTTTGTGCATGTATGTAATTTATTTAAAGCCGTATATCATGCAGCTTCTTTGCCAATTTTTGGTGTCGTTACAAAACAGTGTACATTTTGAACTTTATGGCATGAAACCTGAAAGTTCATATGAATGCCTTATATCTTCACCGTGGATTTAGCATGACAGTATGCCTTTATTGGTGAATACATTTACACAGATCACATGCTGTTTCATGGGCTCTGGGCAGCAGGGATGGCCCTACCATTAGCCAGAGCATGACGGTTGCCTCGAACAGCAGTTTTTGGATGTCATGAAAAGGCAGCAAGTTGTTAGTTATTTAAATTATTGTTATTGTATTTTTACTACCAGGGAGGAAGAAGATGTGTTTGTGGTACTTTTTACCTCAGATGCTAAAACAACTTGAATGGCCTTGGGTACTGTGTATCTTAATTTGGTGGGAAGGGTGCCATTTATTGCTCTGCAACAGGCACCCAGTCTTGGGAGATGGCCCTGCTGGGCAGCTTACACCAATTTCATCACCCATCTTATTTCTCACTACCCCAAAATGACTCATATTATAGATACTGGGTATGGAAGTTTTGAGCGGACCAAAGAGAAATGACAACAAAAAATGTCATTTCTCTCCATGAGCACTTGTCCCTCCCTTTCCCTTCAAATTCTGCTCTTTGACAAATGTACGTTATTCAAATTCTCTTAACCTTACTTAGACTCCTTCCTGCCATCTACAGCAGAAACAAAAGTCAGGTTGAGAGGAGGCAGACAACTTTCACTGAGAGAGAGAGAGAGAGAGAGAGAGTAGTGTGTGTGTTGCCTGCTGTGTGCATGAGGAACCCAGTTCCAGCTGCTGGAGCGACAGCAGGTGGAGACATCTGTGGTGATAGTTCCCCTTGCTACTTCTTTTCCTCTTCTTCCTGACAGGGCAGTTTCCTAAATGGCTGCCATGTAAGGAGAGCTGTTGCCTATATATGTGCCTGGGCTATAATTTCTCTATAACCACAAACAGTGGTGATGGGAACACCTAAGATGTGGTAGCCAATTAATAAAGCAATATTTACTTAACAATTGTTAACAGGTTTCTGTGCTTGAATCAGAATAACACATGTGGAAAGCCAACAAGGGTGTGTTTGTGTGTGTGTGTGTGTGTGTTAGGGAGAGAGAGATTCAGCAACCAGCCTGTACTTCTTATACTGGTGCACTGAGTGGGGGAGCAATATACAAAATACACTGGCCCTGTCTGAACAGTGGGGTAGCTATATGAAGAGGATGAATGATGTTATGTAAAGCTCATTAAGCAGTATTATTCTTTATTTGTAAAACCAACAGAGTGCATAGTTTAAAGAACAGCATGGTTAACAACAGTAGTAATGAAATTTATTATTTCTATAGTGGGGTTATTTTTTGGTGTTCAAAGTTATAATTATCTCAACAATCCTAACAACAACCCAGTAAGGTAGCCTTTGCCAACTTGGTGCCCTCTGGATATTTGGGGCTACAACTCCCATCATCCTTAGCCAGCATGGCCAACAGCTGATGGGAATTGTAGTCCAAAAACATCTGGAGGGTAGCAGGTTTGTGAAGGCTGTTGTAATGTATATCAGTATTATTCAGAAGTCCCATGGTGTACTTGCCGTGAACATTGTGATGGAAGAGTATATTTATGGGTGCATTATAGTCTTTTGGTAAAGTTTGCTCTTTTTATTTAAATTACAACATCAATTAAAGCTGTAATCCTACACCTACTTACCTGGGAATAAGACCTGCAGCACTCAGTGGATCTTACCTCTGAGCAGGCATGTCTAGAATTACCTGTTACATTACACTCTCAGGGAGTATGAAAAATAGTGTGCTCACGATTGATTATACAGAGGAAGCTAAATATACAAACTCCCTTTGTTAGCCTCACAGCTTACACAGTTTCACCCAATAAAGGTTAAGGTCTTTCCATTTGTTTCTGTGGAGACAGATATTTGAGTAGTGTAGGTAATGATGTAGAACTTCCGTTTGACTGTGTGAGGACAAATCATTTTAAAGATGTGTTTATGTTGCTTGGGGACTATTTGATTTGATTTGGGACAAATAGTTCTCAGTTAATTGTCTTTGGAAAGCCAAAGGGGACCGATACTTGGAGCAAATGATATTTTGCTAAAGTTTGCAGAATGCAAATAATATTAAACTTGGCAAAATGTCATTCCTCTCCAACAACTAGTTGATATAAACAAAGGGTTTTTTTTAAATGCAAACTGTAACATGTAGCTGCTTCAAACACCAGTGGTTTTATGTTTATTGTGTCCACTTGGCTTCAGCAATGCAGTGCAAACTCTCGGTACTAATAAATTAATACAGAGTTTCCAAAACTAATGAAAACAAGCTGTGCATAAAATTGTGACAATTGAGGCAAGTTCCATGCCCATGTGCGCTGTTAAGGATCCTTTGGGCTCTAATGATACAGAACAATTTGAAGTTTCTTAGTATGAAGTATCTACATGAAGTGTAAAAGTTGGAAAATTTGGGGGTGGTTGTGGCAGGGAAGGAATAAATAAATAAGAAATAATTAGGACCTTGTTTTACAGTATTTGAGGTGGAGAAAATATTTGCCAAAATGTTAAGGTGATTTCTAAAACATCTGGAAAAATTCAGGAGTTTTTGTTTGGGTGGTTGTGGCACTTGGGGAGGCCAAGTGTTAGGAACTATGCCATTGTAATGAAGTAAGACTTTTTGCTAATGTCCATGTAAACAATGGCACACACTCATGAAGGCTTATGAAAGCGGTATATGACGCTGATTACTCTATTTATCCTTTGCCACAAAAATCTTGTCTCCTGTTCTTGATTTGATCTAACTTTTTCTTGGGGAAACAAAATGTAGCAACTATTTTTTTATTTTTTTTGTAATCAGGCTGCAGAATGCATTGTAAGTCCTTTTTCGTGAACAAAGAATTATATTGGTGGAGCAATTTGGATTGCCAGTTAATCAGCTTTGCAAGTTGATTCAAACATCCCTTTTCTACTGTCCTCAAAGTGTGGTGCATAATTAAGGAGTTACTAGTAGAATACAGAGGTTTTCAAATCTTTACTGTGCAACATGTTGAACATTGTATTGAAATCTGAATATGTACATCTAATGATAGCCAACATATTTTGCAAATGAAGATAATCCAGTCCCTCCTTACAATGAAACATGGGTGAGAAGTACTGCCTGGTTGGCTGTTTACCCTATACCCTTATATTTAGATAGATCTGCCTGCTCTGTTTATAAGGAGACAAAATATTACTATTAGAGTTTATTTAAAATGCTACCCATTTAAATCTTATCTCTTTTCCTGTAATTCAATTTCCTTCCAGGCACCTTCATCTCATGGAACTAAGTAATCTTTTTTTATTCTTCATTGAGGTTTTAATGCTCATTACTAAAGGGATGGCTTTTAATGGATAAACAATTCTTTTTTCATGAACTTGGGCAATCAGGATAAGCAATTTAAGGATTTCTAAAAGGTGGCTGCATATAGGTTTTACAAACTGTACAGATATAACTATATACCTGTAGATAAAATTTCAGAGCTTTTAGCAGTGAAGACCCCCTCCCGGGTTTTTTAAAATTTCTATTATGTTAACCAAAATAGTGAATAAGGCAAGTGCATGAAAGAGATAACGATCAGGCTGGAAAGCAGTTTGTGAACCTTGCGTATTTGGATGGATTTAAATTATTTATTTATATCCTGCCCGGTGGAACAAGTAGGTCTTAACTGCCCATCTGAATGAATGGAAAGAAGAAGCCTGGTGGATCTACCCAGAAAGGATGTTGCACGATAAAGATGCCACCACATAAAAGGTCCTGTCTCTCACGTCTAACCTCCAAGCAATAGTACAGAGAGAATGGCTTCTGATGTTGATCTCAGGCCTTGAGCAGACTGGGAACAAATGGTTTCATCTCAATGAGTTTAGCTGCATTAAGAGACATTTATCTGATTTATGCTGCAACCCTGAGTCCATTTATCTGTGGGTACATCCCACTGAACTCAATGGGACTCTTTTCAGAATAGACAGGTCTACGTTTAGTGCTGTCGACCCTACTATTAACTTAAAATCAGTTGGTAGAGCATGAGACTCTTAATCTCAGGGTCGTGGGTTCGATTCAATTTAAATTAATTTATTCAGTTGATTCTGTGTAATTTTCCAAGTGGTTGTTTTTGATTTTTTTTACATCAGCTTTGGCTTCTGTTAAGTAATAAACAAGGAACTCCCTTTACTCACATGGAATTATGGCTGCTGTGTGCACAGCTGTTCCAGTATTGTTCTTAATGTTGTATGCTGTCATCCTCCTTTGGGATTCAGAGTGGAAGAAAGACTATCCTCCTTGTTTGTTGCTGTTAAAGTGTTCTACAATAGCAGTGCAAAGGAAACGCCAAAGCAGGTTGGTTTACTTGTGGTTTTCTGGATGGTGTTGAGCTCCAAAACCCATCAGCCTCAGCCAGCATGACCAGTGGTCAGGGAGAATGGGAGTTTATCTATTTATGCCATCATTCTTATATCCTGCTCTTCCTTCCTTAGGAAACACAGGGCAAATTACAATAAAGGCAATTAAATATTTTTGAAACAGTAATAAAAAAAGAAGCCTTTAACATAAAAATCAGGGAATCATTAGAAACAGCAGTAGAGTCTACAGAATCGGCATTTACATTCGAAATGCCTGGATGAAGTTTTTAAATGCACCTAAACATGTTAACTGTGAGGGTCAGCTATATCTTACAGGGGAGGAAGTTCCGTAAATGGGACAGCGCCACTGAGAAGGATCTGTCTTATGGCCCCAACCAGCAATCAACTTCTGCTGATTATTATTATTATTTAGTAAATTTCTGTGATGCCCTTCATCTGAAGATCATAGAGCAGTTTACAATATAAAAACACAAAAATACATGCCATAACAACGAACATAAACATAATAACAAACACCCCACAGTTTAAAAGGACATAGATTGTTTAATTAGCCGAGGGCCTGGAAGAAGGGGAATGTTTTTTCCTGGCACCTAAAGACATGCAATGAAGGCACCAGGCAAGGCTTCCTGGGGAGAGCATTCCACAAGTGGGGAGCCAGCAAAGAAAAGGCGCATTCCCATATTGCCACCCTCCAGGGCTCTCATGGAGGAAACAACTAGCAGGGCTGATGGTACTGGAGACACTCCTTCAAGTACTAGGATTCTAATTTGTTCAGAGCTTTATACACAACTACCAGGGCCTTGAATTGGACCTGGTAGTTCACTGGCAACCAGTCCAAAGTTTTAAGGATCCCCCATTGCTGCCCAGTGTGACAGTGGTGTGTGATGCTATCTGCAGCTTCTGGGGTCCCTTCAAGTGGGGATGTCAGAAAATTCCAACAGAAACTGGTGTGTCAATTGCCATCGTTCTCTTATGTATCCCATGTTTGGAAAGGAAAGCAAACCAGTTAATAAGATAAATATCCACTGTTGTTTTCAGGCCACAAATGGTACATAACATTATGTAATTGATTATCCCCCCCCACACACACACACACATTTGTATTGTGTTTCCTTTGCATTCTTTATCTTCAATCCATGGTGAATGACAGATAGCTAATTGACCCCTACATGTTTCCACCACTTCGAGAAGGAAGCATGGAAGCATCCACAGAAGGCTCATCCTCCTCTCTTAGCAAAGTCAGGAATAGAATGCACAGATCCTTCTTTAGTTACTACATCACAGGCCTCCCTTGTGATTAAAGACCTGCTTCACACAAAATAAACTGTACTTGTGCCACTGGCAAGAGCTATTTTAAATAGTTCCTTTCCCTCAATGTGCTTTTTTGTTTGAGGCTTTCTTATACTCTGTTATTTAAGACAGGATACAGTTCTCTTGCTACTATTTAAAATGTAAAACTAAACATAGTCAGAGGTGGGTGCAGGTCTCAGCATGGCATTAGTATAACGTGCTTGGCATGTTTTTCTCGTCTTGAGGACACTGCAAAACATGGCCTTCTTCTCTTCTACATCTCCTATAGAAGGCCTAAGTCCCATTACTGCTCTCAGAGGCTGATGGACCCAATGAGTTTCCTGACGACTCTGGGGGATTTTCCATCTACGATGGGCACTCCTGTTGAAGCCCTGGCCGAACTCTAAAACATCCAAATGGTTTGGGCCATTGACACAAGCGCCTCTAAGTACCCTTTCCTGCTTCCTGGAGCCCACTTGGCTGCCTGGTATATTCCAGACCTTAAGGCAAGGAAACAAGTTAGGAGGCGGTTTGAACATGAGTGGAGGAAAACTCTGTTCGAATGCAATCAAATACTGGTGAGGGCTCGTCATCGAGTCCACCTTGTGGCATACTTTGCTGCCTCCATTGCATCCTCGTTGTGCCATCTGGCAGAACTTTTTGAGGTTGTGTGGGGCCTCTTACAGTCTGACCCAAAGGAGGTGACAGAACTGATGGTAGCTTGCTGTAACTTGTTTGCAAAGCATTTTGAGGATAAAATCGCTTGCATCCACCAGGATCTTGACTGTTACAGCAGATGAATCTGAAGGAGAGTCCAGAGCACTTTCTAGTCTTGCTGTTTTGGATGAGTTTCAGTTAGTAAGGCTTGCTTGAGGATGTGGACATGGTGCTTCAATCAGTTAAGGTGACCACTTGCTCTGGACCCTTGCCCCTCATGGCTGATCAAAACTAGCAGGGAGGGGACAGCTGGCTGGGCCAGGGAAGTGATCAGTGCCTCCTTCAAGAGGAGTGGTCCCTGCCTGCTTGAAGGAGGCAGCTGTCAAACCACTCCTAAGAAACCCTCTCTGGATTTGGGAAATCTAGCTAACTACTGGCCAGTTGCCAGTCTCCCCTTCTTGGACAAGATTATTGAGCGGGTAGACATGGATCAGATTCCGGTGCTCTGGGAGGAAACAGATTTTCTAGATCAATTTCAAATGTGGTGTAGGTCTGGTTTTGGTGCAGAAACTGCTTTGGTCACCCTGCATGATGATCACTGTTGGGAGAGAAATGGGAAAATGTGTCCCTGTTAATTATCCTCAGCCTCTCAGCAGCTTTCGATACCATTGACCATGGTATCCTTCTGGAATGGCTGTCTGAATTGAGTGTGAGTGGCCCCAATCTGTGGTGAGTCTAGTCCTATTTGGATGGATGTTTCCAGACAGTGATGCTTGGGGAGTGCTCTTCGGACCTGTGGAGCCTTCAATTTGGGGTTCCTTGGGGAGCCTTCAATTTTGGGGTTCAGTTTTATCCCCTGTGCTGTTTTACATCTACATGAAATCGCTGAGTGGGGTTATCTGGAAATTTGGAATGTTTTAGTCGGCAATATGCTGATTACACCCAGCTATATTCAGTGCCAGAACTCAACATGAACACTTTCCTTATTCTGTTATATGGCAATGGTGCCCACCTGAGAGGTGCTGGAACTGAGTTCCAGTGAGTTCCATCTGAAAAAAAGCCCTGGCTCTACTTTTCCTTTACATCTGCAGGTGTGGCAGTAGATGTGCTGAACTATTGTCTTGTCTTGGTAATGGACTGGATAAGAGCCAACAAACTGAAGCTCAATTCAGATAAGACTGAGGGATTGTCAGTGGGTGGTTCTGTAGAGCAGATGGATGGGATGTTGCCTGCTCTGGATGGGGTTACACTTGTAGTTTGGGGGTACTTCTGAATCCGTTGCTGTCACTTGAGGCTCAGGTGGCCTTGGTAGCATGGAGTGCCTTCCGTCAGCTTCAGGTGGTGGCACAGCTGTGCCCCCATCTGGTCTGGGAAAGCCTAACTTCTGTCATCTATGCTGTGGTAATCTCTAGGTTAGATTACTGCAATGCATTATACATAGGGCTGCCTCTGAAGATGATTAGGAAATTTTAGCTGGTGCAGAATTTGGCAGCTAGGTTGCTCACTGAGGTAGGATGGTTTGATCCTGACCCAACTGCACTGGTTGCCAATTAGTTTCTGGTCCCAATGCAAAGTACTGGTTTTGACCTATAACGTTTTAAACAGCTCAGGACTGCAGTACCTTAAGGACCGCATCTCCCCATAGGAACCAACCTGGACCCTATGATCATCATCTGAGGCACTTCTTCTTCCACAGTAGATCTGGAGGGTGGCAACACAAGAATGGGCCTTTTATGTGGTGGCTGCCCATGTGGAATGTTCTCTCCAGGGAGGCTCGCCTGGCACCTTCATTATATGTCTTTAAGCGTCAGTTGAAAATGTTTCTCTATAATCAGGCCTTTGGCTAATTAACACTCTATTGCCTTTTAATGTGTTTGTGGGAGTGGGGTTATTGGCTTGTTTTTGTTTTATTTTGTATTTTGTGTTCTCATTTTGTATTTGTATGTTGTGAACTGCCCTGGAAACTTGAAAGGTAGTATACAAATTTAATAAAGAATAATAATAATTACTGCAGCTGCCACTTCTGCTACTCTTCTGGTTTGGCAGCTGGGGGAGCCAGTTTTCATCAAAAGTAGATCATTTCCGCATCCCTCACACAATGTGTAAATAAGTCCTGATGGCAATAAAGGACACTGGTCCTGTAATTGTGCTTGCCGATGGATACTTCTGCTGATTTATGGCTATACCTATGCTAGTTTTAACCAAACTCAGGCTGAAACAAATTGCCCATTCTCAGAGTCTTATGGTCTCATGATAGACAAGTCATTGATGCCCAAAGAAAATACAGCAGCTGTCCTTGGAGAAAATCCTCCTATTAGCTACGCATATCATTTTTGCTGGAGGAAAGCCCTGAGGGAAAGGATAGCTGTTACTTTGTGCAAGTCTATTTGTCCTTGAACATGTAGCATATAATAATATTGTTTTACAGGGCGCAGTTAGATGAGATGGCAAGAGATTTGTGATTGGATCTCCCACTGTTTTTTAAAAGAAAAAATGCAACTGCAGGTGGGCCTGATTCATATTAGGAGTTACATAGCTGGGAGACGAGACTTTAAGCCTTTCTCCTTCAGCCAAGGTGAATCATCTGGATTGGATTATTGCAGTGTACTCTACATGAGACTCCATTTGAAGAGTCTTCAGAAATTGCAATTGGTCCAGAATGAAGCAGAGAGAATAAAGGTGGGTGCTTGCTTATGGGAGGCCTGCAGGTGGTGCTTCCAAGCACAATCCAAAGTGTTGATGATTATATTTAAAGCCCTAAATGGCTTAGGTTCAGGATACTTATGCAAGCACACGATTAAAGGTGGCCAACCTTTAATATAGCTGATATAAACGAGGCCAGAGATTCTGGCGGTGCACATGCTGCTTTGCCTGTTGACCTCTGATTTGCTGTCAGATGTGTTCAATCTTTACACAGTTCTGGAATCAATGGTTACTGCCCCATGGCCCTAGCCACATCTTGGTCAATCTCTTTGGCATGCTGTTCTTCTTCCACTCAACAATTGCTCCTTTGCCCTCCTCTGCCAGGTGCTGCCACAGTTCTTTGCTTCTTGGGTGGTGGGGTTCTTATAGAGCTGTTTTTAGTGCCAAAAGCCCTGTGTGTAGTTGTCTAGTCTTGAAGACAGGTTTCAGAAGGACGGTCTGGGGTTTAACAGTCATGTTTGGTCAACTGTGTCAGTGTCAGTGTTTGCACACATCTGCTTCCTCAGATCCCAACATCCCTTTTTGTCTTGTTTCTATTTGCCTAGCATCTCAAAGGTCACACTGAACCCCTTAGCCTTGTTTTCAGCCTCTGATAAGTAACATCAAGAATACACATACATACATACACACATACATCCTTAGCAACTGCAGAAGACGTGCTCATGGACCTTCTGCTGTCAAATATAGTTTGGCCCACAGAATCTACTCTGAAATGGTGTAGGATGCTCAGCAAAGGGTATGATTCCATTTGTTCAATAGCTGAAGCATGGTAGCACTAAACAGCATGGAGGTGCCAACTTCGTTCTGCTAGAAATAAGTCTCAGGTAGATTATTTTTGGTGTCTGAAAAGGGCAGCAAAGCAGTAATTATTTGATTTATCATAACTGTATTTTTAGTGTCCAATGAGCGGAGCTTGTGGAATTTTCTGCCTTAGATGCCAAAATAACTTGATAGCCCTTGGGTACTATACACCTTGATGTGAGGTGGGGATATGTGCCCACTAAGGCACTGAAGGGTCTTGGACCAACTCAGGTATGGTGAGCCTGCAACCATATGAAATACACACATCCTGGGTAGTGTCATCTAATACATCAATCCTGCTGTTTCAGGCGCTTGGCTCTGAATATTTGTTCTAGATTAATTTTAAGATAATCCAGAATTCTTGGCAGAGAGAGTGTATCCTCTTGCACAACAGACTGTTCTTTTAATAAGGCTGGTGGGTATAAATAAACAACTTACTGAAACACTGGGAAATAATTGATTTATTGTTCTTGTTCTAACCTTTTGACCTGAAGAGAGAACAGGGTGGTATGGAGGGACAGAATTAAAATTCCCCTCAAAACTACTGCCCATATTCAAACTAAAATGCATTCAACTGTTTTCTCTTCTCTACTGCTATATTAAATGAAATAATAAATATCCAAGGCCTTTGGTTATAGCCTTTTAAACTGTGTTTGGGTGGTGGGGTTATTCTTTTTGCTTGTTATTATGGTATATATTTTTATATCTTTGGATGAAGGGCAGTATAGAAATTTAATGAATAGAACAAAAATATTAATAAAATAATTACTGAGGAATTTATAAAAGCAATGTATAGTACAGGAAGTCTTGAAATATATCAGAATCGCCATTCACTAGTTGGAACATGGAATTGTCATATTTTAAAAGGAACAAAAATGCAGCTTTTGCAAAATACAAGGAGGAGAAGGAAGGATATTTTAAACTTCTTTTCTTGCTGCCTGTGTTCCAAGATCTGGGGGTCCCTGCCTCTGAGACAAACCTGTCCTCATGTTGAGAGAAAAGGTAGTTCAAAAAGGCTTACTTAAGGAAGAAAACAGCATTTGTCTCCATCAAACATGCCAAGTTTGAATGGCCTCTGCTAGCAGTCTATGTAATTAGTTTCACTATTAATAAATTGCCTAAAAGAAAAACAAGGCAGCCCTTTTTTATCTAAGATGTTGACAGATTATGGCAAAGTCCTGGCCTTGTCATCTCTCAGCTGTCTTGACTACTTCTTGTCTCTCATCTTCCCTTGATCCACTTGGCTGGCGGAATTATTCAGCTCTTTCATCACTTGGACAGTATGACATGGACACTTCTCCTTCCATCTCTACATTGGGTTCCTGTCTCCTTACAGATACTGCACAAGTTGCTTGTCCTTAACTTCATAACCCCCCATAGCTTTGCCTCTCTTATCTATTCAATCTTATATTCCATCACATCCCTTCCTGCAACCTTTGCCCACCCAGCTTCATCATTTTCAACTATCCAGAGTTCTCTCACACCCTGAAGTGATTATGCCCTTTCTTTCTTCCTGGTCCTTATACCAGGAACTGCCTTCCAGAATGCCACCGAATGACTACCTGTCTTTCTGCCTTCAAGCTCTACTTTTAAACCTACTTTTTACAGGGAGCCTTTGAAACAGTCAATAACCTATTGTAACTAAGCCACAGTATGAGTAATTTAAACAATAGTATGTTTTTACCTGTGCCTCCATTCTCCCCACCCCCAATGTTTCCCTGTGTTTATTTTAGATTGTAAGTCCCTAGGGTTTGAACCTATCAATCCCGTTCTTTGTAAAGTTTGATGTGCATGGACATAAGGGTGACTCAGTTTGTAGAGCATGAGACTCTTAATATCAGGGTTGTGGGTTCATGCCCCATGTTGGGCAAAATATTGCTGCACTGCAGAGAGTTGGACTCAATGGCCCTTGTGGTCCCTTCCAACTCTACAATTCTATGATTCTATAAATAAAATAAATTAGAATATCAATAGTCTGTTTCAGTTTCATGTGGTGCCAAACTATAAAAGGAACACAGGCAACTTTGATTTTTGTTGGGGACAATGCTAACTCTCTCCATTTTGGTGACAAGAAACCTCTCTCTGTGGTGTCTGGACTGTGGTGGCTCTTCCACACCTGCAGTGCATTAAATAATGAACATGCAGCTAGGAACAAGGCTGCCTTCTTTGCAGCACTTCTATTCTGAGCCCCACCAGAGACTCAATGACCTACAGTGCTGTTGAGCTATAAATCCTTTTCCTTACTTTTCCATATGATTAAGCTGCTGGTAATGAAGCCATATCAACTATTACACCAGCTTCAGAGAGTTCTGCAGTAATACCCAGCAGTACAACACAGCCATTGACAAGCAGCAACACAACAGAATTGCCATCTGGGAACCTCTCCATCTCAACTACTAAATCAACAGGTAAAAAGGCACTGGTATTGGCTTGATACTTAGGATGATTCTTTACTAGGCATTTAGCATGGAATCTCCCTGCATCATTTATTCCCTTTCTTATCAGATGTCCACACAATTGCACCATCAAATTATTGTCCTCCTGTGTTTTCCCAGTGCATCTCTCATATTTTCTCAGACCAGAGAAAGTCTGATGTATTGGAGGGTGGGATGGGACAGGACAGTAAAGTGGCCAAGTAGGGCAGCGTGGGTGGGGCTCTCTCAGTTTCCCAACACTGCAGGTCATGGCTGCTTACCAAGAAGAGGAAGGGAAAGGTGTGGTGCAGCATATGGTGGCAGGAGTATGGCTGATTCTGAGTAGGGCTGATTCTGAGTAGGGCTGATTCTGAGTATGGCTGATTCTCAGCACTGTTCTTCCATCTAAGAGGCATACTTTCCACATTTGCCTGGATGAATCAGCCACTCAGCACACTTTCAGTGCATCTTTTAGTGAGTGTTAAATTTTATGTCCTTGTGTTTTTTTGTTTTTATAATCAATATATTAATTAGTGTGAAAGCACTTTCCTGGCTATATATTTTTTTAAAAAATAAAAAATAGTGTACTTCTGCTTAAATAAATGAGCCAACTTTATACTGTTATAATACTACTAAAAATGGCTTTTCTAGCCACCTTTATTTTGGCCAATCTGTATGTCTGATCCAGAACAAGCAGTAAACAATTTGGGTTGTGACATTTCATTGGCAGTAATTGGGCATCACTCTTGAAGTGTTTTAGCACTAATTAAGTTAACTGGGGTGTTGTTGTTTTTAAGGATGTGCCTGGGGAAACCCAGCCAGATGGGCGGGATATAAATAATAAAATTATTATTATTATTATTACAGATCAGCCAGGCACTTGGGTGAATTGGTCCCTCCCCACCTACTGTACCCAAGTTGACAACAGGACCAAACTAGATAAAATAAAGGGAGAGCCATGGAATTATATCCCATGTTTTGTTTTAGGGATTGTTTTTGCTTTTAGTTTCAAGCAGCAGGGTGGGGTTGGATTGGCAAAGTGCTCCCAGGGGTTAGGATGGGAAGTGTTTTGATGCTTTCCCCTTGTGCTATTTCCCATATTTATGTCATCCGGAAGTAAATCTGCTGTGCTTCTGGAGACATGACACAATCCTGATGCCATTTATCAAGACAGATTCCAGTAAATGCAGAGGCATGGTTTGGTTTTAGAACTTTTCAGGCATTCCAAGTGTGTCTGTGTGTTCTTCCTTGTAGATCAAATATTTTCAACTGAGGCAACAAATGGTACAAATGTCACCACCCCTGAAACACTCACCACAAAATCCACTTCAAATACAACAGTGCAAGCATCTACAACACAGGGCAGTTCCAGAAATGAGACAACTCAAAACACAACTTCAACACCACTTCTGACATCTACTTCTACAGAGCTGCCAAAACATACGTTTTCAAATACCGGTACACCTACTGCAACTGAAGCTGGTGACCATAGTGCGATGGTAAGAAGCATGAAGGATTTAGATTGCTGCTTTGGGTGCAATGAAATAGTAGGACAATCTGATTTCTATATTCAAAGCTAATCCCACTAACTAACCAATTCACCGTTTCAGTCCTATTGGAAAGCATCTGCAAATTGCAACTCTATATTCTGTTTCTCTGTCAACTCCAAGTAAAACCATTGGAATGGGGATGGTTCCACTGGGATGACAGTTTCAAAAAGAGGGGGTTGATGGGATGGTTTGTCCATCTGGAACACCTCTAGTGGAATGCAAACATTGCCTAATACTAAACCCAAGGAAGGGCAGCTTCCAGCTACTTAGGTCATGTTAGCCCACCAGAAGGTACATATTTGGCCCACAAGGCCTTTCCCCCAAAACCATGCCCACCTGCCAGTGGGTAGGGCAACTGCATTCAATCCTGTGGGGTGCTGCTTCATCAGTGCATTTCCTGTGGGGAACACCCTGGCAAAGCAGACCCCTGGAGAGAACAGGACTGAACTGTCCATTCATCAGCTGGTGAGCAAAGAGTCCAATCCCACTGGGTGCTCCCACCATTCTGCAGATCAACTTCTCCCACCAAGCTATCAAAGTTGCCCCACAAGATGGGGGGGGGAGATAAGGCTCTGGCCCTCCAGGCAAAAAAGATTCTCTACCCCTGCGCTGAGCATGATTATGTACCCACTCCTCCTGCCACAATGACAGTGCTTCTTCTCTTTCTTTTTGTCAGGTTAACATCACTTGCCTCAATATCAAGAACGTTAAGACCACTGAAGTGATATGCTTGGAAATCAATGAGGAATACTCTTGTGTAAGTAACAACCAAACCATAAAGAATTGGCAGGGTGGAAAAAGGCTTTTGGGAAGAGCCTGATGCCTGTTCCAACTTGGAAAAAGGAAAAAGTGGTGCTGATCCTCCATTGTTTTATGTTTTGAATGAATATTTGTGCAGTTTAGTTTTTCATGGGTGATCTGAGTTCCTTCTCTTACCATCACTACTACTACTACCATTCTTATTATTTGTTAGTCACTTTATGAAAAAGCAACTTAACTTTACATCTGTGACTTAACAGAATACAATATAAACGACTTAACTGTGACTTAACAGGATGCAATATAAACAGATAAAATCCAGTTAAATGGTTTTTTGTGTGTGTGTTTTAAGACAATCCAATGTCATCTTCTTGCCTTTAATTCACCTGGCTTAATCCATCTTCTATCTCCCAGGCCACTGTATTTAGCCTCTCTTTTTTTAAGGACTTACTTCTTATTAAATTTTACTTTACCGTTGGTGCTGCTCTTAAACATGAGGGTTTGACAGTGGGAGAAATGTGTCCCCCTGTTACTTAGCAATAATAATAATAATAATAATAATAATAATTTTATTATATTTTTATTTATTTTATTTATTATTTTATTATTTTTATATACTCTGGGTGGCTTCCAACACATATAAAAATATAATTAAACTAGAAGTTGTTGCCAGTGTTTTCTTTTGGTCGGACAGAGGATACTTTCTTCAAAATATATATATATCTCAGTTGGGACTGCTGTATGGTGCAAGGTGGAGGCTGGGATGTGCAGAGAAGGGGCTGGTTTACAACATAATCCTATACATGTTTACTTTGAAATATGTGCCACTATGCAAAGAATGCAAAGAATTGCAGTCCTGTGAAATCCTATGCATATTTACTCAGTACTAAGTACCACCATGTTAAATGAGATGTCCTCCAACTAAGCCTGCTTAGGATGGAAGTTTCATTCACATGTCCAGAGAAGGAGAAATAAATCAAAGAATGTTTTGGAGAAGGATTAAGGAGTGCAGAAAAGCAATTGCAGAAAAACAGACAGGTGAACGTTATTCTTAATTAAAATTTATACCCCACATTCTATACTCAAGTGAGCTAACAAATAATAAATTGGGGGGTCATTTAAATAATAATAATAATAATAATAATAATAATAATAATCTCAACATCTTCTTCTGAAATAAATAGCCCTACATCTAATTCTTATCCATGTGTATTCAGAACTAAATTCCACTGAGTTAAGTGGGATTTATTCCCCATTCCAAAGCAGTGTGTTAGGAATGCAGCCTTAATCGAGTCTTAAAAGGAACAATTTCATTTATATTTGTTAAGGTGCTGGTGAGTCTTACTAGATAAATTATCCCAGAGTATGGTGAACACAACAAAAAGGGGTCTGCTATATTCCCAAGCATTCTGACCCTTCAAGATTAAGGGAAATCTAAGCAAGGGCTTCCCAGCATATTTTAGTGGACAAGGAGGCTCAGATGGCCTCTAAGATCAAGAAAGACAGAGCTAATGCAGAGGTTCCTCTGTGTCCACTTGAAGCCTGACACCACTTTCGCTCTCTGAGTGTGCTTGCAGTAATGAATGAAGAGAGGGAACAGCACACTCCCCTTGCCTTTCAGTCCTTCTCTGCTGCTGCTTTCTCTTCTTCTTTGGCGATCACTCGTAGTCCTTCTCTGCATAGTTATGCTGAATGGATCCAGAATAAAAGGGCAAGAAAATGAGGAGTGACTGGATAGGACAAAGTGGGTGTCCTCAAAGAGGGTGGATCAGTGAGGGCACCTTATCCCAGGGCCCTCAAAACTAGAGTTTGGTGTTGCTGCCAAAGTAAAATAATTGCTTTGGAGTTTAACAACATCTGTAGGGCCACAGCTTATCCACCCTTCTTTAGAGGAACCAGCTGCTGTGGAATAAACTCCTGCTGCTCCGTAGCAATGGAAAGTGGCATTGGGATGGGATTCTTAATCTTACTGTGTTATTGGCTTCTGTCCTGTAAAGCACACACACACAAACTTGAATTTATGCCTGTTTACATATACTGGAAGCATATCAAGGAGAACTATGCTGAACATCTGTTGAAACAAACTCCTCAGGGACTTTACAGTTTAGTACTGGAGCCACCTAGTGGCTGAAATATCAGCAGGAAAATGAATAGTGTGCATATGTGTAGATGTAATACAGCACATTTTGTTTCATGATCACAAAATTCAGGCTAGCTATACCCTAATTCTATTTATCTGTCTGCTGTACCGCTTTGGTGTTCATTGGTGTGTAAATTTTTAGGGCTGATTATCATCATGTAAAACTTTATCCTAAATATCTGGTTACCTTTTTAGCCAGTCAGGCAGCATTGCAGCCCTGTAATACTGCCATAATTTATATATATTGAAATTAATGGCACTGCCATTAGATCTGGCTGCTAAGCTTTGATTCTTTGTATTGAAGTTGCACTTTGAGTAAAGATTCCAATTCTGTCCCAAATGATTTATCTCATCTTTTTATATAGTTGTGCACATTCCCTTAACCTTTAAATCACTAGTGATACAGATGCCGGTTATGGCTTCTAAGTGCTTTTAATAACATAATTAATAGGTCTGAATGTGCTCAGGCTAATGTTTCAGAACACAGAGTTCATATAATGGTCCAACTGATGGTTAATTGATAATTAATAATGAAATACATGTCAACGAGGAGCTTTATAATTTGCACAATTAACAAGGTGCAGATGGGAATCAACAAATCATAGAATTGTCGAGTTGGAATGAATCCCAAGGGTCATCTAGTCCAACCCCCTGCAATGCAGGAATCTAACAAATGGCCATAGAACCTTTGTTTAAAAAACCTCCAAGGAGGGAGAATACACTATCTCTTGGGGGAGTCTGTTCCACTGTCAAACAGCTCTTACTGCCAGAAAGTTCTTCCTGATGTTTAGTTGGAATTTCCTTTCTTGTAATTTTAACATTAACATCCACCAAAATTTATTGGATTATCCAGCTGGAAATGGAAAAGTTTAAGAGTAAACTTTGTATTCAAAAGTCAGAGACAGGCATATGAAACTATAACATTCATGCAACAGCAACAGCTCTCTGGCCTGAGGGATGCCCTGTTAGGAGTGCTCCTAACAAGTACTCAACACAAACATGAATACAAACTTCTGAAGCTACTGTGAAGAGTGGAGTAGGCCCTGTTAACTATACTATGGCCTGCAGATGTCCACTTCAGAGTGGTGCATAGAAGGACTTTCACTGTGGTGGCACCTGAGATTAGGCAGGCACCAACTGCTAGTTGCTTTTGTCAGCAACTGGAAACATACCTCCACATCCCTAGGTTATCACCGATAGTCAGTACAGGCTCTTGCCATCTCTGGTTATTGTGGCATAACAATGATTTTAATCAATAACAATAAATATTATGCAGAATCAATGTCATTAGGAAAAGTTCCAGATTTAATGTATTCATAAAAATTGACATTGCCCTCAGCCATCCTTTGAAATTCACACTTTTCTGAATTTTGTAATGAAATTTTCCAACCAAGTTATGTGTGCAAAAATGCATTTACAGTACTAGGGTAAAATGCATGCATTACTAGAAATAGCATAAGCAAATACATTATATTATGGGAAACTGTTTCACAAAACTGTGCATATTAGGCAAAGCTGCATACAAAAATGTGTATGTTGGGGGGAAATTGTCCTAAAATGCTAACGGATTCATGAGGACTTCTAAAAATATTTTTCACAAACTGATGTTGTAATGTGGAGAACTAAACTTAAGTATGGAAAAATGGGAACTCAGATAAACCAAAAGTGACAGATTTGCCCATTGCTAGTCTGAGCTGCTATTTCTGAGAAAACTGATAACTGCATCTGAGTTGTGCGTAGATAGAATAGACTGAGGTACTTCTCTGTTTTCCTGTTGCCCTTTCCCAGTAAACTGCTTTATATCTCTGTTCTGTACAGAGGAAACTCTGACATTCTTTCAAGAGTTCTTTCCACAGCAAAGGAAAAACACTACGGAGGAGTGTTTTTCCTCAAACCTATCAAACTAATGTTTATGGGAACAGTTTGACTAGGTTTTATTTTAACTTCCATTTTCCCAGGCATAAAGTATTCTGTGACAAATAATGCCCCCCCCCCAAAAAAAAGCCATTTGTAGTGATAGTGAAGTTTGCTGCATATATATTTTAACTGGTCTGATACTTGGGCTTGGAACCTGCCTATCTAAAAAGATCCTTTCAATTAGAAATCTAGCAAGTGGGAGACAGCTGGGCTAGAGTCTTTCTTCCTGATGTGCTGGAGTGTTTGTTTAAAGAAGATGTTTGTTTGCTTGTTTGTTTGCTGTTTTGTTCCCTTGCAACATGGGGAAGCATTAAAAAATGACACACACATACACCAATCCCCTGTAACTTAAAGTAGAAAAATGCTACTCTGTTACTTAATTCAGCTGCATATAGACCAGGCTTGAACTAGTGGCCATCGCTATGCCTTGTGATATTGAGTTGCACAACTTAATTACATAATTTGCAGTTTCACCAAAATTTAGGTAGGTCACAACTACATTTGTTTTCTTTAATGAGATTTGCAAATACAAAAAAAAAATCAAGTTAAAAACGACAGTGGAAGCGATTATTCTAATAATTTGTATTTTTACTCCTCTTGCTCTTGTCACAACTACATTTTAAGGAGAAGTTGGAAAAAGTGTGTAAAGCAGAAAGCTGGAGGCATGAAGAGAGATCATGGTGGAGAGGGAAGATGGAGATATGTAGTGAAGAGAGAGAGAGAGAAAAAATGGGTCTCAAGTTGTAGGTTGGGGTTAAATGTGGGTGATGACTACTAAATTATATGTTGGGTGAACCTTTTCCAGTCAGCACCATTGGGGTGACCCTGAGTTCTAGTCCTATAAATGAATATCAGCAGGAGTCTGATTCCAGAGAAAGATCAGGACCACCATGTTGTTGGGGGGGGGTATTTTGCTGTACTGGGCCCATGCCCAAGCTAGACTTTGACCTTTCAATTTTAAGCAAAGTCTATAGCAGGCATCCCCAAACTCGCCCTCCAGATGTTTTGGGACTACAATTCCTATCATCCCTGACCACTGGTCCTGTCAGCTAGGGATGGTGGGAGTTGTAGTCCCAAAACATCTGGAGGGCCGAGTTTGGGGGTGCCTGGTCTATAGTCTTGTAGAATGACAGTTACAAAGCCAAACATACCATTCTCTCCAACTGCTTTCTGAGAAACAAGCCTACTCCCAGTTTGGAGGATTTTTTTTAGCTGATGAGTTAAGCCATAGCTATGATTGATTGGCACATGCTATAGAACAATTCAGAGCTCAGTGCCTCAGGGCAGATGGAATGAAATCAGGAAACATCTTCTCCAGACAATGGAGAAGGAACTTCCTAGTTCATTTTGAAGTCATTTTGAGTTCTTCCTTGAGGTGGGTGTGTGCGTGACTCTAGTTTTTCTTGAAATTCATATAGAAGAATGGCTGCCTGGGTCATTCTGAAGGAGCTTTCTGGTTCATTTTGAAGCTGCTGTTCATATTCCCTGGTAGAGGAGTGATTGCTACCCTGAGGGGGGGAGGGGGCAGGATTCACCTAATAAGCCCTATCAAAGAAAGTCCCAAGCAAGGACTTGCACTCAAGAAGTGAAGTTCCCCCCCCCATCCTGTCTTCCCCCTTCTAAAGGGAAATGCAGTTGAGGGTGGGGGGCTATAACAGCAACAAGTGATTTGCAGGCAGACATTCAACAAGCTAAGCTTAGATTCTAAAATGGAGATACAGTTGTGGAAAAGATTTTATATGTCAATCAGATTGGATCAGTTGGTCAGATATCTTATTACTTGTATGTGGCCTCCAATTTATTTGGAGGACCTGCCACCCTCACCTGCAAAAGAGAATACAAATTTGCATAAATATGCATAAGAAACAAATCATACAAAACAATGTGTGATCTCTTGTGAGATGGAAAGCCTAATCCACAGCATACCGAGCCCCTGGGGATTATGACGTCCTATAGAGGACCAGGCACTTTAAACCTTCATAGGAGTGGAAAATTCAAGATCAAATTTGTAATGATCACAGCCTGATCAAGTGTGATTTATCAGGCCAGGGAGGTTGTTTTTTTCAGCTGTATCATTTCTCTTGTTTGAGGGAGGAATTAGTTGACTGTCTGGCTGCCAGTTGGGAATGTGTCGAGGTTCTCTTGGGTAAAGTTTGTGTGATACAGATTACTCCAAGTCAGATGGTCCTGACACAAAAAAACTACATTACTTGTGCAAACAAAGCAATATTATTCATGTGAGTGATAGTGTTTGAACCATGCATCAACAGAAAATACCACAAGGCATTGTGATTGCAGCTGCTACCAATTCTATTCCACTCAGTGTAAACCATTGATAGAACAGAATAAAACTGCCAGTGGCAAGGGTGTGCAACTCGAGTTAATTTGATAGGCCAAGTTCTAATAAAAGTTTCCCATGAATCCAACCTTATCTCAAGAAAATGCCGTAATCTTTTGTTGTGGATTCCAGTTCTCTCTATAATGGGCAAATTTTAACAATCTCATGTTTTGGTTGGAGATTGAAATCTGGATCTTGAACATAACTGGAAAAATGGGCAAAGAGCATTTGCCAGATGACATAATCCCTTCAAAAACAGATGTTTTCCCTGATGTACACTTGGGAGCATTAAGTTTGTTGTTCTCTTAGGAATCATTTGCCCCAAACCATGCTGTGAAGGCATGATGGGAATAAAGTTACATATATAAAAAATGACAGGAGAATAATGAAAACCACAAAGGCTATTATATCATAATGGGTAAAAGACTGAGCCAGCTGAGGCAGGAAGTCTTGAATTAAAATTTTGCCTCTATCACTAGTTCATTCAGTGGCCTCCAGCAAGCCAATCTTACCCAACTTCAGCTCCCCACCTGCAATATGGGCATAACAACAACAAAGGGTTGTATCCAACCAAGTCTTACTCGGAGTAGACCTATTGAAATTAATCAACCTAAGCTAGCAATGCTCATTAAAATTGTTACAGATCTGGGGCTACAGAGTTTGAGGGTGCAAGGGCACCCATAACTGCTAGAGTTTGTGAATGTTAGAAAGTAATAAAGGGGTAGGATTTAACTGATTTTTTGAGTACAGTCATACCTCATGTTACGGCCGCTTCAGGTTACGTACATGTTTTCAGGTTGCGGACCACGGGAAACCCGGAAGTACTGGAACGGGTTACTTCTGGGTTTCGCCCTTCGCACATGTGCAGAAGTGCCAAATCGCGCTGGCGCCTGCGCAGACACAGCACTTCAGGATGTGAACGCTGCGAGTTGCGGACATGCCTCTGTCACTGATTACTTCCACAACCCAAGATTCCACTGTATTGAAGGGAAGATGCCAATCCAGTGAAAAAATAACAGGCGAAACTACATTTCCATGCCAAGACATCACCTGGGATAGATGGCAAAAGGTGTTGATGGCCCATCATAGAGAAATCCTTGGGTCTCTGCCATTGGAGGTTGCCAAGTTTACACTGAGCGATGACATCAGTTGAAGGAAAATTGTGACCCTTCAAAGGCTTGGAATAGCGGAGAGAAGGGGGGGCAAGCAGAGAGAAGGGGAGGAGTTACTTGGCATGGGATTTCTGGGAAGGAGAAGCAGGAAGTGGTGAGAACTCCATGTGGGAGGCTGAGGTGTGACACTCAGAAAGCCTCTGAATGCAATGCTGAGCTCCTGTGAAAGACCAGCCGCTCCTGAGATGTGAATGCTGTAAACTCTGCACTCTCTGCACAAGTTGTGATTATGTGTTAATAAACCATATTTCTTAAAGACCCGACAGTCTCATCCACATCTTAATTCCTAGTGGAAACACAACCCTGGAGTCCCTGGAATCTTACTACAGTGGTACCTCTGGTTAAGAACTTAATTCGTTCTGGAGGTCCGTTCTTAACCTGAAACTGTTCTTAACCTGAAGCACCACTTTAGCTAATGGGGCCTCCTGCTACCACCGCGTCGCCGCTGCGCGATTTATGTTCTCATCCTGAAGTAAAGTTCTTAACCCTAGGTACTACTTCCAGGTTAGCAGAGTCTGTAACCCAAAGCGTTTGTAACCTGAGGTACCACTGTACCTCTCAACAAAGATTGAGGGTGGTGCATAACCTTTGTAACAATATGAATAAGTCTGCTCTGAATAGGACTACCATTTGATACAACCATAAAGATCAATTAGATAACATCTTTGCGTATGTTATCTAAGTGATAACATTCAACATTCTCTCATTATTATTACTACTGTTATTTGTTAGACTTGTTAGCTGCTTGGTACCAAATGACTTGTCTTCAAGTGACTTGCAGCAGTTATAGAAACACAAACATATTACAGGCAGTGACTATTTTATGTGCATCTGATTGACAAGCAATCACGCACATGCTCGTCTCTGCCAACCCAAAGTGGCTTGAAAACAGGGCGGAATGGGGCATGCACTCCGCCAATGCTCATGAGGGTCAGAAAAGTGACCCCCCACACACACACACAAAATGGTTGCTGCCTGTATACCATAATATATATATATATACACCATATTTTGCACCATTGTAATGTACTCTAGCCATATATAAATTAAAAGCTTCTGGTGGAACATTTACTGACTCTAACTTTCTGCCTACACATGGAGCTATCATCTGAGAATTGCAGAATTTCATAAATGGATCCATGGTTGGGACCCTAGATTTCTGACCACTGATGGCTTGTTGCTGCTTACCTTGGCTGAATTTACATAAAACATAGAAAACATAACACTTGACTGAAATACTTACCGTAACTCTCACTCTCAGGTTTCTGATCCACCAAACCTGCCTATTCTAGAACTTCGTGTGACTTCAGAATATTTATTTTTAGCTCTGTTTCACCAGAGTCTGGCCCTGAGCCTGACTCACAAGACATGTATATACTGAATTCCAGAAGCTCCATCCTGTTTGACGCACAGATTGACCAAAAGGAGGAAAAAGCTGCAAGACCCTAAATTTCTCCTCAGTCTACTCCCTCTCAAGCGCCACAATTGTTTGGAAGAAGGATCACCTTATTTCAATCTCTGTGTGGGAAGATTTTATCCATTGTGAAACCCGCAGTGAAAGAGCCATCTGAAATACGGCATTTCCAAAACAGGAAGGCCAAGTGTTTCTTTGTTATTTCCCTCTTCTCCTGCCTGGTGACAATGAAAAAGGAGGTAGTGCTTATGATTTCAAAACAATAAGAGCTGCCTTGGCTTCTTTCCCTTTAAATCCTTACAGAAAATAATCCTAAGTAGGATCCACTTGGTCAAAAATGTTTTTGATTATAATGGCATATATTGATTATAAAAGTCATCAACTTTAAAATTGCTTTTATGGAAAATTATTATTATTTATTTGCCATCAATGCGTACAGATGTGAAATTGTTGACAAATATTTTGGTTCATGTTCCCTCTTTTTGTTAGTTTATCTTTTATTGTTTAACAACTGTGCTCCTGATTCTGTTCATCCAGTGTAGCTATCACAGGGCAAAGTACGACTTTAATTGGCACAGCTAAAGCATAGCTTAGTCCAGAGCTTAGTTTTCCTAAGCCCTGTAGCTCTGTTCTCACTTGCCATTAATAATGCCATGATGAAACATACGCACTCCAGTACCAATGCACCATCATATAACATTCCAATGGCCACTTTGGGCAAATTGTGCCAATTAACTAGAAGAGGGAATCTGTATCTATGTGGGCTATAGCAAGGAACTTGACCTTTGTGGGACTGGTCCACCCACCCCATGGAGTCCTTTGCTCATGAGCCCACAAGCAACTGCCACTGACATTGTATTCTGTTTCTTTGGAAAGCTTTTGAGTTCTACAGAAGCCAGTGGCAGCCTACTTGGCTATTTGATATTGGTATAGTATAAACTAATGCTGAAGAGAACATTTGTTTAACATCTGTTTGTTTGACTTTTCTTTTCTGGCTTTTTGCAGCACCAGTTCAAAAAACAAAAAGGAATGGACCTAACAAATGTGGTTTGTGAAGAAAACCCATCTCAATGCGATATCAAACTGTCAGAATCAGAAGTGAAGCGCAACTGCATATTGCTGGTTGAGGCAGCAAATAAAGGTCAGTTGAGTAAATTGGTGTAAAACTTATGTACAGAGCAAGATATGGTTTTACCGAGATTGTGTATATATGTCAGGGAGTGAGTGGTTTGTTGTAGTTAGATAATTTATGTTTCAATGAGTTCTTTTGTCTGTTTTCATTACTTCACACTTGGGCGGGTGGTGGGGTACGGAAAGCAAAATTGTATCTCAGCTTTCACCAGTAATCACTGTTCATTCTCAATGCATCATCTGTTCCTTAAAACGTAAGATCCTCCAAATCAAGGTACGGAATTCCACAGTCACAAGAATATCCCATCCCATATCTCATGCTTGAAAAACATAAAACAAACACTATAGTCCCAATCTACAGCTGTGTGTGATGGGCATCTGGCTGTGAATTTTATGTTGTTTCTTCCCTTCCAGTTGTTATTTATTGAAAGTTTGTTATGAATTGTACCCATGCCCAAAAAGATGGTTGGCATTTTTACTCCTGAGATTTAAAGCAGTTCTTGCTGTAGTTGCTATAATACAGGAATGGGGAACCTTTTTCAGCCCAAGGGCCACATTTCATCATGGGCAACCTTGAAGGGAGCACATGACAGTGGTGGGTGAGGCCAGAGCCAAAAGAGGGCAGAGCTGTAGGCTATACTGTAGGGTACATTCCACTCACAAGGTCTGGCCCAAGACATTTTGCTGTCTGAGGCAAATGACAAGATGGAGGTACAAAAGCCAACCAAAGTGGCAGTTGAAATTTACTTCAAAACTGGCAACAGGATACATACCCTCCAAGTGTCCTGATTTTTCTGGGATGAGCCCAGAATTCCTAAAGCCATCACAGCTACTGACTTGATCCTGGGGCACCCCAAGTTCCTCCAGCCACTGGACAGGGGCCGCAGAAGCACCTCCTGGGGCGGCTGCAGCATTGGGAAGGAAGCATGAGGGCTCCTTCCCAAAGTCTACTTAGCACTTACTAGACTTTGGCAAGAAGGTGGGTGGACTCTTGGACCCTGGCAGAGCCCTCATGCCTTCTTCCCGAAGCCATACAAGCCTCTCCTCTTGCTGCTTTCTTCAGGTGAGGGAGAATAGGCTTTCCCAGCTATTGCACTGCTCCCGTGCCTCTGATTCCAGACTGTCCAACTATAGTAAAGTTTTCTCTGGCAGGTTCAGTGTTTTGTTTGCTTGTTTCTAGTTACCCCCAACTTCATTGCTAGATGATAACCAATTCATAACCTTCAAAATGTAAGCCAACTAATAACACCAAGAAAAAGAAAAACAATGTTTTCCCCTGCTTGCGTTCAGCCTTTGAGTGTGACCTATCACTTTCCTGGCTGCATTTGTGGCATTGCAGTAAAGTGGTTTGTTCTCCTTGATCCGTAACCCAGATCTTCCAAAGGGGTTACTGGAAGGAATTTTTAAAATTTCTTTATTTTGTTTCAACTACGGCAGACCAACACGGCTACCTACCTGTAGCTGCTCCATACCTGTTAGTGTCTTCCACCTGAGGCGGCTATGTCCCTCTGCCCCAAGGCAGGGCCGGTTGTACCAGCCATGCAAAAGCCAGAGGATTCTATACAAACACACCTCTCTCTCCAATCTTCACCCAGATAAACAAAAGACATTAGCACAGTTCAAGGATATATTGTGGCCAGGCAAAGGCATACGTGGACAATGCAAAGCCAATGAGGGGTGTGGCCTGGGGGAAGTCCTGAGAGCCAGGCAGATAAGGCTGGAGGTTCAGCCTATGGACCAGACCCTGTTTTTATAATATATTTTATAATATAAAATATTTAGTGTTGCCCAGAATGCTCATCCACAATACAAACACGTTTCCTCGGCAGGAGCAATCAGGTGCTCTTATAAAAAGCACAAGCGATGTTTTGGTGATATAAGCATGTGTGCAAAAATGCTTGTTGTCCTCATAGTCTCTTCCAGTTTTACAACAATGAATACCAAAGAAAGGTAACAGATGGACACAAATTTTATTGTGTGATTGATCTAACTTTTGTTTGTTTTGAAATCAACAGGTCCAAGTGCATTAGAAACGGTTCTTCACCAGAAGGCAGCATTTTTGGAACAGGTAATAAATGAGGGGTAGGTAATAAATTAAGAATGGGGGGGAGAGCTGAGTTAGGTACAATAAGAAACCGCAATATCTAAAATATGTTAAAATCTGGACAAAATATGTGAGTGCTAGTAACTCTCTGTCGTAGAAATCATATGAATGTCCAACTGTCTCATTAAGATGTTAGGAGAGCCCCTTTCCCTCCACAGAGCTACAATTTCCAGACTTCCATGGAAAGATGGATTGACTGTTAAACCGCTCTGGTAACTTGTGGCTCAGTGAGGGGAATAGGGGTCTCCGAGGCACTTTCAACATGCTTAACAAACTACAGTTCCCAGGATTCTTGGAGGGAAGCAATTCTGTGGAAGGACGTGTGGATCCAGAATTGGCCTCCACAGTCAGTTATGGACTCACTTTTAAAACCGTGTTTATAGAAGACAATCTTACTCGGCTACGAGTGATCGCAAAAGAAGAAGAGTAACATTGTTCTGTCTAAACAAAGCATATACAGTGGTGCCTCGCAAGACGAAATTAATCCGTTCCGCGAGTCTCTTCGTCTTGCGGTTTTTTCGTCTTGCGAAGCGCGGCTATTAGCGGCTTAGCGGCTATTAACGGCTTAGCGGCTATTAACGGCTTAGCGGCTTTAAGACAAAGTAAACCAACCCGCAAGAACTCGCAAGACATTTCGTCTTGCGAAGCAAGCCCATAGGGAAATTCGTCTTGCGGAACGACTCAAAAAACGGAAAACTCTTTCGTCTAGCGAGTTTTTCGTCTTGCGAGGCATTCGTCTTGCGGGGCACCACTGTAACAACATATTGAGAGAGATATGCCACAAGTGGTTTCTTCTTCTTTATTATTATTTATATTCAACCTTTTCCCCAAAACCAGGCCTTAAGGCAGTGCACAAAAATTAAAACAAAAATGAAAAGCTAAAAGCATAAAGGATAACAGTTAAAAAGCAATTAAACTATAATAGAATTAACATGACATGAAAACAGATCTATAAAATTGAGTAAACAAAAGTCTTTCCCTTAAAAACAGTCAGTTCCCAAAAGCCCACTGGAATAAAACAGTTTTCACTTTGCTGGCAGAAATATAAGAAGAAGGGAGCCTATTTAGCTTCTCTAGGAAGGGAGTTCCAAAGTTTGGGATCAGCCACTGAGAAGGCTTTATAAAGTCATCACCTTTGTGCAGTCATCACTTCTGAGCCCAGTCAAGTTTTTATGCTGCAGGGGTTTGGCCAATTATATTCCTAGACTTACCGTACTATTATAGTTTTAATAAAGGTCTCCAGTAGTAATTCATTGCACATTTTGGCACTTTACATCTTCAAAGTGTAATAATACATTAATTAATTAATCCTCACTATTCTCTAGTGAGGCAGGTCTCTGCTTGTAAAGCTGGACTCCAGGCACCTATAAAAATAGCACTGAAAAGCTAAATGTGCACATTGCTGCCACAGCTGTCATGCAGTAAATCTCAGGGAAAAACCACTGGGTGAAAAATTAATTTTGGAGATAGCTGAAAATTAGATGTGATGCAGGAAGCAGTAAAATGTGAGACATAAGGGTCTTATGCACTTCAGGGTCCCACCCAGAGTGGCTGGGGAAGCCGGGCCAGATGGGTGGGGTATAAATATTATTATTATTATTACTATTATTATTACTATTACTATTATTAATAATAATAAAAAAAGATCGTGGGTACAATTCATAGCACTGAAAAGGGGGAATTGAATCATTTCCCATATGCTAATATACAGGAGCATCAGGGCAGTGTGATTTCCATGCTGGTTGATAGGGGAGAAATTCTATTTGGTCTGCATTTAAAGGCAAACTTACCCAATTTGCACTTTTCCAAAACAAAATGCGAACCAAAACACATCCATCCTTCAAAATTCACACTTCTCTGAGTTTTGCAGTGCAGTTCTTGATCATGTAATGTGCACAAAAATACACATACTAGCTGTGCTTTTCTTCTGGAGAAAAGGTGCCGGTACTCACCATGAAGTTGTTACAGTAAGTTTAACCAGTTTAAAGTTTAAGGGGAAAAAAATATGTGCTGGTACTGTGTAACCTTGAGTACTCCCAGAAAAAAGCACTGCATACTAATGTAAAACATATATTAGTGAAAACAACATACAAAAATGTATAGTGTTAGGGAAAATGTAATGCAAACATCTGTATATCAGGTAAAATTGCATTAAAAAATGTGTATTTTAGGAGCAATCTCCACAAGCTAGGACTCGTTTTCAAAGCTCGACTGACGCTTTAAGTACTTTGAAAAATCTGTGCATGTGTATTCACAGGGCAGCCCAGGTATTAGGCAGGGTGAGGCCGCTGCTGCTGCTGCTGCTGCTGCAGGTGGTAGAAGCCCCTTTAAGGGCATCCCTATGAGTGCCCCACCTGCCCCACTGCCTCCACCATTGGCAGAGAAGTAGCGCTGATTTCTGGTGAGGGCTCAATGGAATCATCTCACCCAAAATTGGCACCAGTACCAGCACCACTGATGTGCTGGTGGTGAAGGCAGCAGGGTGTACAGGGTAGGGAGGCACTTCCTGTTTCTCCTCAAGTGGTGAACTGGCACCCGCCACCCCTGTGTAGTCAGTTGAACAAATTTCCTTCAATAAGAAAATAAACCCAAGGCTGGATAATATTATATGAAAAGTTGTAGCAATTTAAGATGCCCCATAGAACTGTTCCACTGGTTTTCACTAGGGGCTGCATCAATACTTCCATTTTTTTAGGGAAGAATTTTCAAAAACGGTACCTAGGCTATGGTTTAATCTTATATGTGAAAGTAAGTTCTACTGTAAGTACCTTGCAGCGAGACTGAGATAGTAAATGTGTCTGTAAATTTTATGTTTCACCTTTCCCCTCCCAACCCCACTTGAAATTGGAAAAAAGAAACCGAACTGAGAATTTTGGGTGTAAATGGGAGAGCCTCTGAATGTAATATGCTTCCTGTTTATGTTATTTTTGGCTCTGTTCTGTATTTTTTCAGCTAGGGATAAAGCCCCACAAACAGGAGAACATTTCGAGTCACAAGGACTATTCCCGGAAGACACTTATTGCCTTGGTCACCTCTGGTTTGCTGCTGGCATTTCTGGGATTGGCTGCATACTTCCTTATGAAACGACAGAGCTGGAGCCCCATGGGAGAGAGGCTGGTTAGTGCTTATAGCTGGCAAAACAAGTAGAGAGATCTCTAAGTTCAGCAGGAGTGAGAAAGGAAGAATGGTGGAAGCTTTGTAGAGACCGCTTGCTGGCTAAGAATTTCAAGTAGTTAGCTGTCTATTTCAGGAGTTTAAAGAGAGGCGAGTGATGGTGAAAAAGATCTAGTCAGCTTACTTTTCTACAAGTTAGCTATTTTCTATCAATGAACATATCTTGTTAGACTGGGGGTGGCGGGGAAGTGTGGTTGTTTCAAAAAAGTTGTCTCCTACCGTTCAACCAAAAAAGTTTAATGACAATAACGGACATGAGAAATAATATTATTCTTTGATACATGGGTTGCCTTCCTGTTTATGGTTCCCTCTTATAGCTTGTATTGTACTGCCAACATCCAACTTCTAACCTTACCAGTTATATTCAATTGTAATTACAGCTGTGTTTACAGTTTAATATTTTGAGATGTTCGTATATTGGTACACAAACTCAGCAAACCAAGAGCTGAAATTTGTATTATACTTGTTTGCATGTATAAACAAGCCTGAACCCCCCCCCCTTTTTTAAGGCAAAGGAGCTGTAGAAGGAGGCAATGCAAGAGGGAGCAATATTTTTCCCAATAGCAGAAATGCCTGAGTTAAAGATCAAATGTTTCTTTTCAGTGTGAAATCTAAACCAATTTGTTGTCCACTTGATTCAGTTATCTAACTCTGCATTTTGTTATTATTTACTGCCTCCACCATTTAGGGTGAAGATCCATATTACACAGAAAATGGTAGCCATGGCAACACTGTGGTTTCTGTGGCCTCTCATGAACAGTCTGACCTGCAGGATAAACCAAACTTCAATGGAGGGGCTCGGGAAAATGGGACTGGTCAACCAACCTCAAAAAATGGACATTCAACCAAGCCCCATGTTGTGGCTGATACTGAACTGTGAAAAGGATATGGCCAAAAGTCTTATTAACATGGCTTGGAAGACCAGAGTGGAAATATAGAGGAGCTAGAGTGCAAGGGTGCCATAAATCATAATCCTTTTATTTTTACAAAGAATTCAAAAATCCCATTCCAAAGCATACATTTTTAATGAGCTGCCACAGGACTTAGTGGTGTGTACAAGCTTTCGTTTGTACACACTTTCGTTTGTACAAGCTTTCGTTTGTACATGAAGTTAGCAAGCTGCTTCAATGGGATTTGGCTTGTTCATAGTATATTTTTTTGCTCTCTCTCAGACCAAAATGAGATGTGACTGTCCCTTACAACCATCTATCTGGGGAAAGGATAGGGGTGCTTCTCTAGAAATTTAGAGTAGATTTATCATAGTTCGGAATTTGATTTTCAGCTCCAGTGCTGATTAGGGGGAGGAAGGATCTCTTCACAGTGAGAATAAATAAAAATAATGAACAATAAGGCATTTAACCACCTAGGTCAGCAATTCTGAGTACTGATTCACATGATGACCCTTTTCTTATGACCCTTTTCAACACAAGAGAACCGGTGAATGCTCAAACACATGGCTGTATTTTGCCTCAACCTAGCTCAACCCACATTTAATTTTTTTCAAGATACAAAAAATTGCCATTTGGATGCATGTAAGCTGTATTTATTGGTCCAAGTCACTATACTAAATCACTGAAAAGGCAACCTGAGAGTTAAACAAATTGTGTGCATCAAACCTCAGGAAACCCACCAACATTCTTACTTCTTTGGTAGGTACCATTTGTCATTCCCACATCCAGACCCAGCTCAGACATCTCACTCCAGCCTTTCTGCTATGTGATACAATGCCCTTAACACATACTGACAGGAACTCAGCAGCCAACCCAGCAAGCCTTCTGAAGTACTGTTTGGCAATCACTAAACAACATTAAACACTTCAATAGACTTGCTTTCAGCAGAAAACTAGATGGTTTTTCAGGTGAAAAACATTCTAAAATATTGAAGGGCAGTTCCATATTCAGCTAGGAACTGGCATAGGCAACTGGCCCAAAACTACAAATGTTGCTCATGTCAGCGAAATATTTCAGCTAGGAGATTCTGTCTCCATTATTCCTAGAATAACATGTAAACAGAAGCAATGACATAAAGCAAATGATGTTGGCTAGGAATCAGGGGTGGCTAATCAGTGTCCCCCAAGATACTGTTGGGCTCCAGTCCCCATCAGCTCAAGTCGGCATGGCTGATAGCCAGGGATTGTGGATTTTCATAGAATCATAGAATTGTAAGGGAACCCAAGGGTTAACCCCCTGCCATGCAGGAATCTCAACACATGGTCACCCATCTAATTTAAAACCATACAAGACCCTGTGTGGCTTTGCAAATGTGTTAGCAGTTTTATTGTTGCACCACTGTAGTCCAACAACACTTGAGGGCCACAGGTTCCCCTGCTATAAAGCACAGAACAAGTCTTAAAAACATTGTCCTCAATCCTAATGAAGCTAGTCCTGTTGAAATTAATGGGACAAATCAGTTACAGTTAAATTGATTGTACTGTCAGTTCTCTTAAGCCTGCAGTCTCACGTGGAAATAAGCTGTATTGAACTTAATGGGGCTTAATTCTAAGAAAACTTGTATATGACTTGTGTTGTAAATGAAGTAAACTGACTGTTTGGATCCTTTGAACCCTGTTTCCAAACAAACAAATGAGAATATGTTTGCAAATGTAAATCTTTGCCTTAATCACATCTGGTGTCTCTCTTTCTATATATTTGTTTTGCTCTATATATTTGCCTCCCCCCCCCCCAAAAAAAAAGAATACTAGGAAGCTGTTTCCTTATGTTGTGCTTTATTATTCCTATCCCCCATGTTAAATGCCATTCTGGGTTTTGTTGACTCTGTATTATTATTCTTGTATGTTGTACCATACAGTACAAAATATGAATAGGCTTTGAAATGAATTACCTTTTCTTCCCCCCAACCCAGTCAGTATGATCATTATTATTTTACATTTAAACTTACAGATTATCAATAGGGATAATACAGGAAATTCTAATATGAATGATGCTAGGATCTTGGACCAAATAGTTATGGGATAATGTGTCCAGTGACTTAGGCCCCATCTTCACAACACATTTTAAGCAGTACTGTAGCACTTTAAACAGTCACGGCTTTCCACAAAGAATGCTAAGAACTGCAGTTTATTAAGGGCATTAACAGTTGTTAGCAGACCTCTATTCCCCACACTGAGCTACGATTCTGAGTGGCTTAACATCCAGTCCCTCATTCGGGAGAACACTACAGTAAGCTAAAGGAGCAACAACCAGGTAGGCTACTGCCACTGCCACCCCCCATTATCTGTCACCTGAGGTCGTTGCCTTGCTCTGCCTAATGGTAGAGCCAGCCCAGGTCATAATTAACTGGTATTTTACATTTATTACATTAAGGCAGGTGTACTGTAAAACAAAGAACTTTATTTAAACAAGCTTTCTTTGACTCCTAACTCTCTCTGACACACCTGCTCTCTATACTGAATCACTTCCTGGTAGCTGTTCCCTTAACCTGTGCCTTCCCTCTGTTTTATTAAGTTTCTCCTGCTAACATCCTCTTACTTAGTTCCACATACATTGATACAGTGGGTGGGTGTATATTAAGACTGCAAACACCTGGGGCATGTGGATAATGACCTAATCTATGGGAGGGTTTTCAGATGTGTATCAATTAACCACACCCACTTTTGTGGCCAGCTGGATCTATAACCAATCTGAATTGAAAGCAGCATGTTGAGGAGGAGCAGGAACAGGAACAATTCTGGATTGAGAAAAGGTACATTTTTGTGTTGCAAATGGATTTATTGTGTATGTGGCCTGAGGCAGCTTTGTGACTGCGGACCAGCACACTCTCAAGTCTCTCAACTGACAAAAGGATTTGAAATACTTAGCATTTAGCCGCTTTGATTATGTTTTATACTGAATCATGAGATAGAAGGTGTCAGGAGTAAATTGAATTTGTGTAATACTTTTAAGTACTCAAAACAAATGCATTGTCAGTAAAGTAGGGGTGGGGAACTTCAGGCCTGAGGCCTAACTGCAGCCTTCCAGGCCTTTCTATAGGGCCCTCAGAACTCTCCCCAGACCAGAAGAGAACACTGGCCCTTGAGCTGAAAAAGGTTTCCCCTCCTGTGCTGTAAAGGAAGGATTTTCATTCTCACTTTACAGATTCAAACAAATAAGAATGCTGAGGCCAGGCCTTCCCAATTCATAGTTCAGAGATTTCGCACAGATACAATGAAAGCTTTCTGTTAGTAGGGATAGATTGAGTGCCAGAGCCAGATGGTAGTCACTTGATCTTGGCCTTAACTTACGGCATTGTGACTAAAAATCAGTATAGCACTGTCTGGGCTGAGGCAATCATGGGAATAGACCCTGAGTTGTGTCAGGCTCCCTTTCTCACATTACATTAGTGGTGCAGGAACTATTGCAGTACAGCTTCTTTCTATGGCACTCAGGTAAAAGGAGACTGTCTAAGCCAAATGGAAGGTATTTTTTTGCTGTGACTCCTCCCACTATCTCTGCTAAAGCCAGGAAGCACCCAGCTTCAGCAGAGGTTCCAGGTGAAGAAGAAAGGAGGGCACCCTTCTTCCAGGTTTTCTGCACATAAACCTACACACACACAATTCTTTAAATGTCAAGAAGCATTTCTCTTCAGAACCTTTGACCTTCCAGATGTTACTGAATTCCAATTCCCATCATCCTTGGCCATCAGCCATGCTTGCTGGGCCTTGTGACGGTTGGAATTCAGCAACATCTGGCGCTCAGTAGGTTCCACACACTGGGTTTAAAGGATCCTGAGGAGAGCAGTGCAGTGACTGACAGGGAACTCCCAGCCCAGATGAGAACCTGTGCCTGCTCTCAACTTTTGGGGGCAGCATGAGGGCAGCCCTTTCCGTTTCCCTCTGTAGTTTTAAGTGGAGTAGAGGTGAGGAGATTCTTCTGCTGGTGTAGCTCCCCTCTTCCTCCACCAGTTTTTGCTGCTGGAAGCATCTGCCTGCTAGCTACTCACATTACTAATGCAGGTAGTTTTATATAAGAGGATATTCTTCTTGGAGGCCTTTAGGAGTTGCAATTGAACAAACTATCACATGTCATAAATTAAGATTGTGCCTACAACTAAAGTAAGAATCAGGAAATAAATTCATTTCCTAGAACTTAATTTTGCTGTTCATTTTAGTGAACCTTTTACATACCTCTGCTCTGCCTCAGGCAAATTTCTCAGCTCAGAAAAAAATAAATATAGCCTGATCTGTGGTGACATAAGAAAACAAATGCTGTTCCCAAACAGTCTGAACCCAAAGGAAATACAGTGCATTTTTCCAGCAGAGGTGCAGAACATTAGAGAATTCCAGTCCGGAAAGGCAGTGCTCAGAGCTACAGGAAGTTTCCCCCAAGTGTGTAAACACCGTCAGGCTTGGCTTGAACAAAACTGAAGGTGCTATTACTCCTTCCTTATCAATCTACATGCATTTCTTCCTTGCAGAAATTCCTCCTTAATCTTTTGCTTTGAAAGTTCTGAAGGTGATAAGAGTTTCTCCCTCCCTAATTTCTTAACAGTTTCTCTGCTATAAGAAAGTAATGGAAGTAATCTTAATACTTCATCTTATTTGGATCTATAGGTGGCTTCTTACTATTAGAACTGCTAAAGCCTAGTACCTCGTGGAAAGAATAATATGCCACCTATTGCAGGGAGAATTGTTTCATTGAACTACACTATCCTGTGCTGTGCAATTATTTAAGTGGCAGAGGTCAAAAACGCAGGGTAATAGGTTCTATGATTGCCAGATGCAAAAGAGGACAGGGGATTCCTCCTCTGTCCATGTTGAAATTCCTCCTCTGTACTACTACTGGTGATGCAGAAATCCTTGTCGGCTTTTGTATCTGGCTACTCTGTGAGATTCATCCCATCTCCAGTTTGAGGATTATAAGTAGCATGGGCTGGGAGAAAGATTTCTATAGAGTCCCTGATGAGTCTCTTGCCAACCACAGCTAAATAGGCCAATGTTCATAACTTACATTTTATGTCTGATGCATTGTGAGAAATGTTGTGAGGCTAATAATGGCTTTCTTGAAGGACTGTTACAACGCATAGTGAAAATGTGTGCAGTCATGTTCCCTTAGGCTGATGGTTCCAAAATCAATGGGATTTTGCTCATTTTCTGGACCAGCTAGTCAGCTCCAAATTGAATTTCTATCTCCTCTGTTATCTAGTTGCTGTGAGCTACAGGTTGGTCATGAACCCACCTTGCAAAAAATGGATAAACCACCCATTATTTCAAAGATAATTTTCTTTAAATAATGACTTTGTTTTTACGGGGAAATGTGATACATGGCAGTTCAGTGAGCATTTTCATTCAATTACAATTGGAATTGTCTGAAGAATTTAAGTTAGCCCATTAGATTTCTACACAAGTCAGTGAACACATTGACCTGCTCTAGAACTTCAAAGAGAAACCGGGAATGGTCAAATTCACAACTCCTCTGGACTGGGCCAAGGTTCGGAATAAATTACCAACACCTGCATAGGGCTTTAGACGTTAAACCAATTACAAGTGTCTAATTCAAATTCTACTCTTAACACCAATGGGTTTTTTTTATTACTTCTTTGGAAACTCTTAATAATCCTTCCTCTTGGTGGGATTGAAGGCTATTAGGATTTTCCCAGCTGGGTGTAACTGAATAACTGTGTCTGTGAGATCTTGTTAATAACACAGTTTAAGGGACCATTTCCAATGTAAAACATTAAGAAGCTGTGGTTTCTGGCAGGCCACAAACACTCCACCCTGCTAGTGTGAACAGACACATTGGGAGTCTCATAAGAAAGCATAAACACGTTGCTAGTGTTTCCATAAGATCAACTCATTATGCTGCAAATGTCATTCTATCTTTATCTTACTCCCCCCCCCCCCAAAAGCAGAAATGCATTCCAATCCTACTTTACTCAGAAGCACACTAGAATTCAGTGGGACTTAGCCCTAGTAAATGTGGCTACGAATGCAGCTCAAATTCCTTAAAGGACTTTATAAATGTATGGGTTACTGATAGCAAAAAGATAAGTTTTTAATTTCACCATGTCCTTCTCTCCTACACATACTTATTTGCTGTGAGAATTTTATTCTCTTCACTAGTATTCTGGCAGATCACAAATGCTGGTAAGTGGCAGCTTTCTGCCAAGCTGGCCTAACAGTAGTATCCACAGAGTCAGAGCCCTCCTTGCCAAGTACAAACCCAAAGATCTCAATAGAGAGTCACCTCCACCTGATCCTACCCCCCCCCCCCCAGCAACATAGATCAGGGGTTAGGAATTCACTGTAAGCATGCTTAGGATTGCAGCCTTATTTTCAGTTTCCCTCAGTATTAGATTTATACAGGGCTGCAAGTTCTTTTCCCCCCTTTGGTGAGGTTCCTTTGCCTTTGAATAGCTGCCTGTTTGCTAGTTTAACTGCGACTTTACTGCATATCTGGAAGTTGTGAGGACACAGCAGCCCTAAAAGTTAACAAAACATAGTCTATACTCAAGGGTCAATATTATTTATTATAGTGTGGTGCACAATTGGCCTGGGGGGATAGGCTAATTACAATATTAAAGCCAGAAATGATGAATACCAAAGTCCTTTTCCTGTCTTATGTTCAGTTTGAGGAAAAGAGGTACTAAAGCTGCAATTCTAATCCCACTAAACAATATTGAATTCAATAGGACTTCTGAGTAGACATGGTGAAGGCTGTGTGCAAACTACAGTGGTACCTCGGGTTACATATGCTTTAGGTTACAAACTCCGCTATGCCAGAAATAGTATCTCCGATTAAGAACTTTGCTTCAGGATGAGAACAGAAATTGTGCTCCTGCGGCGCGGCAGCAGCAGGAGGCCCCATTAGCTAAAGTGGTGCTTCAGGTTAAGAACAGTTTCAGGTTAAGAACGGACCTCCGGAACGAATTAAGTACTTAACCCGAGGTACCACTGTATACTTTTAAAGTATACCTTTGAAGCACACCCTCAAAGAATTCTGGGCACTGTAGCTTACTTCTCTCAGAGTTACAGTTCCCAGCAACACTTAACAAACTAGAGTGCTCAGAATACTTTGAGGGAAAGAATGTGTTTTGAATGATCTTTAAAGGTACAGTATAGATTGTACAGTAAGTTGCTGTCTGCCTCCCTTCATTCTTTACATATTGAAATAAAGCTAGACAGGGTGGGGGGGCTTTTTTTTTTTTTAAGCATGTGATTCTGTTTTCCTTTGCACAGCTTGGCTCTGCTATAAAGAGAGCTGTATCTTTAGAACCACATCTGTGGTATGATAAAGTGCATGGTTGAATTCAAGATGTTTCCCTGACATATACAGACAAGAAAAATTATTATTAGACTTGGATCAGTTGAACTAAAGTATTTGTGCAAGTTGCAAGTCAAGGAAACCACATATAAATGCTGGGGGGCAGATTCAACTAGAAAGCTGTGCTGGCTCCTTCTAGTACAATGGGGCCCCTCTAGCACATTGAGGTTTCCCCTCCTTCTCCCATGTGCCCTTGCCCCCCCCCCATTGGCTTGGGAGTGCAGGAGAACCTTAGAAACAGCACACAGGAGGAAGAGAGGAGAGATCAATCCACCTGGCAAGCAGAAATGCTTGTGCTGATAGTATGACATTGAATTCCATCCTAAGACAATGGCAAACTCATAAACTTTATTCAGTTACTGACAACCAAGAGGAAATGGGGGCAGCTTCAAACTTCCACTCACCACCTTATAAATTGTAAATTTCTGTATCTGTGATGTGTTGACAACTTCATGTTAGCTTAGCAATGAGGTTTTTATTGGGGGCCAAAATTATATCAATAGCTCACTGTGATTTTTCCAGGCATAGTAGCCAACTCCTTGAGGCCAAGGTCTCTTCAACCTCCCCCCATAATATTTGAGGGGGTAGGCCCCCCCAGTTGATAGGGAATGCCATTCAAATGGTATGTGCATGCCATGTCTTGAGATTGATTATGTGGGGTGGGGCTTACCTGCCCCCCGCCCCATATTTTATTCAAATGAGTACCACTTCACAAAAGCAGCCAACTGCAGAGAGAGTCACCTAGGCAGTTGGGATTCCTGGGGAAGATACGACAGAGTCCTAGGTTTTGACCTCTGGATCTGAGTTGGTGAACATGGTAGACTAGTCTTCTTACTGCTTTACACTGAACCAACAAGTTCATAAGATTGTGGTGGTCTGTTCCTTCCTTTTCTTGCTGAAGCGATGCATTGCAGCCTGAACACAGAACTTAAAGGCAGTTACCTTGGGCCTACCCTGAACTTTCCTTTTCACCCAAGTACTTCAGAAGAACTAACTCCTGCAGGGCAGTGAATTATCTAATCCTCACAGCTCACTCTGTTCACAGACCAAAGGCACTGTGTCTACCTCACAGAAGCTGTGTATATCAAAGGGTACGTTGTGCTGACAGTAATGCTATGGGTGAATACTGTGATCTCTCTGCAGCCATAAGGCTCTAACAGTAGAACGACAAAGAACGATCTTGGGGTGAACACTGTGGCTTTCAGTATTTCTTGGTGTCTTGCAAAATGTGTTTCTCTGCCTTGGGATTTTGAGTAGACATGTAGCTGTACTGTCAGTATTGCAGCTTTTTATTTCACAGCTGACTCATGTATTTTGCACACTTGGGGGGAAGGTTCCTTCTGTGTTTTTAACTGCAGTTTGCAGATATTATCCGGGGATAATGTGTAGTTCCAGGACTACGAAAACATCAGCTTCTGATTTCTACTGATCAGGCTGCTTTAAAAAGCATTGGAGCAGCCCAGGATATTGTTTTCTCATCATTTGGCAACCCTACTTTAGAATCTCTCTGTTTTTCAATTTTTTTAAAAACCGAAGCAATGTTTCTGTTCCTCTTCTCTGCAATATACTTTTGTAAATCTAAGGCCCCTTAGACACCTTGTAAGAAGTATCCCATTTAATCTAGCACAGGAGTTTTAATTAAATTGCATTCCTTATTCTTCTAGCAGAAACTGCTCTGCCTGTAGCCTGAAAAATTGGAAGAGCACAGCTCATTTTGATCTTGGAGTAAAAGTCAGGATCAAGAGCAGCATGTCAGGAAAATAATATTTCTTTTGCTTTAAAATTTAGGTCATTTTTGAAAATTAAATTAAGACTAGAAAAATAAGCGAGAAAAACAGGAAGCACTGCCCTAAAGACAGAAAGCAGCTTGTTGTTAGACAGGTTTGAGAAACATTACCATAAAATGTGTTACATGCAGCATTACCAACTTCTAAACAGGCCCTTGTTGCTGCCACTTCATGAGCAATTTGATCTGCAGCCATTGACAGGTAGTGTTTATCTCCATGCCATGGGATGCTTCACTTGCTTATTTCTGCAGATCAAATTACTTGAGAGAGGCACAGGAATAGGCTAAGCAGCCATTACCTTTTCTTGACCAGTTCACAACCACCCTAGCCATCTTGAACAGTTCTTGTGATCTTATTCAGTGCTTTGACCTTACTCAGCTCATGACACCCTCTCATTCTTACACTTTCTCTGAAAATAAGCTACTATTATAATGCCATCTTCTCAGCCTTGGAAGAAACATCCACCTAGAAGAGTAATAATCTAACATAGCTTTAGTGTCCAAAATGTATCAAGAGTCCCTGGTGCAAAATTTATTTTGTTATTAGGTATAGCCTATGTTTTCCCCAAGGAGCAAAAAGGTGGCATACATCGTTCTTTACTCAGCTTCATCTTACCCCGTAACAGCCATGTGTTAGACTGTGAGATGGTGGTGACTGGACCAAAGTCACAGTGAGTTTAATGGCTGAAAGGAAATTTGAATGCAGAGTTGCATTCTGACCACAATGCCATAGAATTGCCATATTCCTCAATATTCATCCCTGCTGTGTTCTGTTTTGATCTAATTTTGGAATAGTCATATTTGCTTAAAGATTAAGGTATCAATTGATCTTTATTACATTCTCTCCATGGGTTTTCTTTTCCCATACTGTACTGGCACACAAAAGCCCCCTCCTCATAATAACTTGTTCGCTGGAGACAAGGAAAATGGATTGATATGTTTTCACTAACAAATAGATATTTAGTAGAATATCAGACTTAGTCACTCATAGTCAGCATCATTCTTTCTAGAGGTATGCTTGGCGGTAATTGTCTGGTAAAGGAAAACCAGTAGGATTTGAAGCTGCTATGTGGTACAATGCCGCCATCTGCTGCACACATTGATATTTTAACATTTGAAAGATGAGGGAATATGCTAAATTACTTACGTGAATCAGTTTTTAAAAGAATTATGATGGAAGATACAACTCTAAAAACTAAGAACAGCAAAGGAACAGTTTTTTTAAAGTGTATATCAAATTTTCAAAAACAGTAAGAAAGCAAAGAACAATTGTGTGGAGCATATTATTTCAGTGAGAATAAAATAAACAAAAGGTTAAGTAAACTTTTGCAGACATTACAATAAAACAGATTCTTCAAATGAACATTTTGTAAGAGTTACATATCAATATATGTATTGCCTTGCCACATAGAGAGATGTGTTGTTGGGGGCCTATGCAATACATTATTTTTTTTACTATGAGTTATATGAACAGAGATCAAACAACATCAAAAAGGCTTGCTTCTTAACTCCTCTTAGAACCCTCCTATGGTGGGTTAAATGCTCAGACAAGGCAGTGCCCCACACCCTTTCAAATAGGGGGCAGTGCACCTGTTTTGGCACTTGAAGGGAAACAGAAAGTGCTGTCCTTCTGCACCGCACCACCCTTGCCTAGGTTGGGTAGTGGTGGTGGCAGGTTCTGGTGAGATCTCACTGGAAATCAGTGCCAGTGCCATTTCTCCACCAGTGGTGGAGGCGCTGTGGCAGGCAGAGTGTCTGTGGGGGCACCACCTTGGGGGCTTCCATTGCCCAAAATGGCTGCTTCACCCCACCTTATGTGTGAGCCAGCCTTGCTCTCAAACTATCTATCTCTAGAAGGACCCAATGCAGACTTCCAAGGTTTGGCAATTTAGAGTCTGACTGCAGCCAGCAACAGAGCTAGCAGCTCCTTGGGAGCAAGAGTGGAAACAGTGCATTACATAGTTTAGCCTTATAAACTACACCTTATTTTATTTTACAGATGTTATGCTCACACAAAGGAGATCCAATATTTCACTTAGTGAATGACTAAGGAGTGAATAAAAAGAAACGTATCAATCTGAAATAATCTTTTAGACTGTTTCAAAGCTTTTGCCGGATCAATTTATATTGTCTTGATGTTTGTCTTCCTATATTTGGTTTATTTGTATAGGCTATGAAATCACACTAGGTAGGTTTTTTGATTTAAAAAATCCTTTCTGGATTTACCTCTCAGTACTCTTAGATAGTGAATTTTAAATCCCATAGATGCCACAAACCATAATTTTGAGTACCATTTATCCAAAGTTAAACCTTTGGCGGCAGTTTTCTTTTGTTTACTCTTCACTCAGTTGTTTGGCCTCAGGAATTTCAGAAAGAGCAAAACCATAACTTAAATTCTACGCAGACTGCACTAACATGAAGAAATTGGTTGATGTTTCAGCTTCCATTAGTGTACCCTCTCCAGCTGTCTCTAAGATAGCTAACACATTATGCTTTGGGTGTCAAACTCTGACAGCTTGGAGGATCAGCTAAGTTATGATACCGTAGGGCTGTTAGGATCTTATGACCATTTAGGCAGTAAGCAGGGGAGGCCCTACTCCAAGTACCCCTTCCTCCTGAAGTAAAGTAGGTTGTGACAGAGGAGTCAGACTTCCCTGTTGTGGCACACCCACTCTGGTATGTCCTCACTCGGGCCATGCACTCAGTGCAAAAATATTATTTACCCAGGCCTTTTAATGTTGCATATATTACGCGGTTGTATATGTTCATATGCTTTAAGCACTTATTTTAGTTTTTCCCCTTTTGTTGTTGTTTTAGCACCTCTTCCCCCCCCCCAATATCATTGTGTTTTGTTTCAATTGTTTTGCACTATTTTACATTGCAATCCTACATATGTCTATTCAGAAGTAAGCCCCACCAAGTCCTAGGTAAATAAGTGTAGCCTTCAAGGTAATTTTGTGAGCTACTAAGAAACAGGGCATAAATGTATTACATAATTAATCTTTTTTAAAAAATTCTTTTTATTAAGTTCTTTTTTAAGACAAAAACATACAAACGAACAACAACAACAAAAGAAAAAAGACAAAGCAACACATAAAAAAAGAAAACAAACGGAAAACAAACCAACATCAATTCATAACGTGACACTGATTGACTTCTCTCCATCTCGGTTTTGGGCTATGTAACCACAATACCTTTCTGCGGTATCATTTTACAACCTCTATCTATACATCGCAGGCTTTATGTTACACCTACTGTGATTTAAATATTTCCTAAATTTGCTTCTATGTATGTTATGAATTTGTTCCAATCGTTAATAAATTTTACACTTTTTTGATGCCTGATTTTTTGTGTCATCTTTGCTAATTCTATATACTCAAATAATTTAATTTGCCATTCTCTAACAGTTAGGATATTAGGGGTTTTCCAATTTTGCGCTAGCAATATCCTGGCGGCTGCCGTTGCATATTGGAACATTATTTGGTCTTCTTTCTTGATCTCCTCTCCGACCATTCCCAGGAGGAAGGCTTCGGGTTTTTTGGGAAAAGTATATTTCAAATTTTTTTTAAATTCATCATAAATAAGTCCCCAAAACCTTTTCACTTCTTCACAAGTCCACCACATTTGGTGGAAATCACCCTCTTTTGTTTTGCATTTCCAGCATGTTTTGTCTCCAGTCTTATACATTTTTTCCAATTTCACAGGGGTGATGTACTATCGGTACATCATTTTTTCCATAGTTCTCGGAGTCCAACACATGCTATGAACTTCATATCCTTGTTCCGAAGTTTCACCCACCTATCGTAATCTAGGTTGTATCCAAGATCTATGGCCCATTTGACCATAACTTCCTTTATCTCTTCATCCTTAGTATCCCAATCTAGTAATTGATTATACATTTTGGATAAGAGTTTGGAATTATCTACTAGTATTTCCACCTGGTATCTGAACTTTTTCTCTTTTTTTTTTTTTTAAATCATATTTATTAAAGTTTAAAAATACAAAGAAAAAAGACAAAAGAAAAAAGATATTTAAAAACCTTACTTTCATTCCCTACTTTCTGGGACTCCCCCCCTCCCCCCCCCAATTGTATTCCCTTTCCTTAATTTGGTTCTACAAGCTCTCACTCCCAATTTAAAGCTTAATTTGTTTAACCCACTATCCAGATTGAATTGTACAAATCGGACCACCGTCCCACATCATTACCCGCAAAATAAAAGAGATATTCCCCAAGATCCACCCCAGTTCCTTCCACAAATTCCCTTTTTTTAAACACGTCCGATCAAAGTAAAATAACATGCGTAAGTTATGTAAAGAAATAGAAAATAAGAGATATAGAAAAATTCAAAAAATGGTTACACAGCCTTTGGATTTCAAATCTGCCCCCTTCCCGGTTTGAATTCCCCATGTCCATCAGTCTATACATTATCAGCTTGGAAGTCTCATTTCATGACCAGATTTCTCCCGATTCCATCTTGCCGGTTTTCTTTTAGTTTATTAATTTAAATAATATTTGACTTCAAATGTCCAATCTAACAAAGGCCTTTAATTTCCTTGATCTTTACCACTCCTCCCGTTGTTCTTTCCGTGTCGTAATCAGTCCTTTATTCTTCTTATTCCTCACTTTCTCAGGTTTCTTGTCCTGTTCAGCTGCTAAAACTTTCTAATTCAGAAATCTAGTGTCTCTGCAGAGGTTTGTTATTCAGGAACAGAACTTACGTCCAGTCCCTTTCTTTCTTCAATAAAAATTCCATTGTCTTCCTCTGTAGACAAAATACTCTTTCAGTTTTGCAGCTTTCCCAGAAGATAACAAATCCTGTGCGAATCCCAGGGTATTTTTCCACTTACGACCGTTCTTGTAGTATCCCGAAACCCCTCTAGGGGATTATAATAACTTTGTATCCTCTAATCCAAAAGTCAAATTGTTGCTTATTTTCCAACAGTTTATATCCATATTATAGCAAATTGTAACAAAATTAACCAGCAAGGTCCTCGTAAAGTCCTCTTTATATTCTCCAGCTTTGACAGCCACTTTGACAGCTGTCAAAGTCTCCGTCTCTCTTCACCAAGCTCCACGAATCGCCCCGGTTCCCAGGGGGGGGGGTTGCATTTTTCTTCTCACCCTCCACTCTTCTCCTCCAGCACATTTCTTATAATTTCCCATCGTGAAATTAATGGTTTTTATCAGAGACATACTTCCCTTTGGACCTTGGTTACCCAGTCCTTGTTTTGGAATGTTTACAATAGGGGGGGGGATTGACTTCCTTTTTAAATCGCCCCCGCTCGTGCCAAATCCAAAATTTTGAACCCGGTTTCCCAATTACTCACGGGTTGTTGTTAATAGTCCAAATTTTCAATAGAAGAAGTCAGCGCTCTCCGTCGAATGGCATGCGGCTGCGCTCGGCAGGGAAAGCAGTGGACTCAAGCACCACGCCACTCCCGGCACCCGATCCGAAGCCTTTAAAAAGGCTCCTTCACGAGTCGGGAGGGCGCTAATGGTGCAAGCCGAGTCACCCATGTCCATGGACTCCGTGCCCGTGGTTTTTAAGGGTCCCCGCGTCGCCGGCGCGGTAGGACCCAGCCCCTGCCGAGCAGACTCCCTCCGGAGCTCGGAGGGAGTCCGCCATTCGGCGATGGCGCTAACCCGGAAGTCGGTATCTGAACTTTTTCTCATTCATCCCTGTTTTTTTTATGTTCATTCCATAAGGCATTAATTTGGTGAAATTGTAGCCAACCCGTTAATTTATCCTTTAAATCTTCATATGTTCTGATTTTCCATCCTTTATCTGATCTTACCAGGAGGTCTTCATAGGTCCATTTTTCACTTTCCATGTTTAATTTTTTGATTGTTAGAATATCAATTGGTGATAGCCACCAGGGGGTGTCTTTTTCTATAAGTCTTTTATTTCTGTCCCATACCTCAAGCAACGCTCCTCTGATGATATGGTTAGAGAAGCCTTTGTGTACCCTCTCTTTATTGTGCCACAGATATGCATGCCAACCGAATCTGCTGTTAAATCCCTCTAAATCTAACAAATCTGTGTTTTTCAAGACGATCCATTCTTTGATCCAACACAAGCACGAGGCCTCATAGTATAGTTTCAAGTTCGGGACAGCAAACCCTCCTCTATCTCTTGGATCTGTAAGTAGTTTAAATTTAATTCTTGCTCTTTTGCCCTGCCTAATAAATCTGGAAAGGGTTTTCTGCCAATCTTTAAACATTGTCGTACCTCTAATCACCGGGATGTTCTGAAATAAAAACAGCAGTCTTGGAAGAATACTCATCTTAATTGCGGCCATTCTTCCTGACCAGGAAAGTTTTATCCTACTCCAGGTATCTAAGTCTTTTTTAATCTCTCTCCAATTAAATCCTAATATATAGTTATCTTCTACTAAGTTTATGTTTTTCGTGGAGACCCAAATACCCAGATATTTCACCTTTTTCACCACCTTGATTCCTGTTTGCAACTCTAACTGGCTTCTTAAGTCTTCAGCCAAGTTCTTTGTCAACATCTTGGTTTTAACTTTATTTAGCTTAAAACCGGACATTTTTCCAAATTCTTCTAGTAGCTCTAGAACTTTACCGATACCTTTTACTGGATCTTCTAACGATATTACCAAATCATCAGCGTAGGCCTTTAATTTATACTCTTTTGCTCCAATTCTGATTCCTCTTATTTCTGATGTTTTACTTATTTTATTTGTAATTACTTCCAGCACCATAATAAATAAGAGAGGGGACAGAGGGCACCCCTGTCTTGTACCCTTCGAAATCACAAACGAATTAGTTAAATTATTGTTAATAATTAGTTTAGCCCTTTGGCTTGAATAGATCGCTTTTATTCCTTCCATGAAAGGGCCCTCTATCCCTACCCTCTCCATACATTTTAATAAAAACCGCCAGGATACATTGTCAAAAGCCTTTTCGGCGTCGATGAAAATTAATGCCGCGGGGATATCGTTCTTGAATTCCAAATATTCAATAATATTTATTATGTGCCTTACGTTGTCTTTTAATTGCCTGTTAGGGAGGAATCCGGCTTGATCTTTATGAATGGATTTTATTAAGTATTTCTTAAGTCTGTTCGCCATTATTTCTGCGAAGATTTTGTAGTCGTTATTAAGTAGTGATATCGGTCTATAATTTCTTATGTCCAATTTGTCAAAGTCTAATTTAGGTATTAACGTGATGTGTGCCTCTTTCCAGGAATCAGGTATCCTCCCTCCTTGTAGAATATTATTCATTACGTCACATAGTACCGGGGCCAGATACTCCTCTAAAACTTTGTAGTACTTTGATGACAGACCATCTGGACCTGGTGCTTTCCCCGGTTTCATCTTCTTAATTGCCTCCTTGATCTCATCTGCTGTTATTAATTTGTTTAATTGGGTTTTTTCTTCATCCGTCAAGTGTTCTCCTCCGTTTCTTTCCAGATATTTTTCTATTTCTACTACAGTGGTGCCCCGCAAGACGAATGCCTCGCAAGACGGAAAACCCGCTAGACGAAAGGGTTTTCCGTTTTTGAGTTGCTTCGCAGGACAAATTTCCCTATGGGCTTGCTTCGCAAGACGAAAATGTCTTGCAAGTCTTGAGATTTTTTTTTCGCTTTTCCCCCCTTTATCTAATCTGCTAAGCCTTTAATAGCCTTTAATAGCCTTTTAGCAGCTAATCCGCTAAGCCTTTAAGCCTTTAATAGCCGCTAAACCGCTAATAGCGCTAATCCGTTAAGCCGCTAATAGGGTTGCTTCGCAAGATGAAAAAACCGCTAGACGAAGACTCTCGCGGAACGGATTAATTTCGTCTTGCGAGGCACCACTGTATGTCCTCATCTTCCTTTTTATACAGGTTTTCATAGAATTGAAGGAACTTTTCCTTTATTTCATTGGGATCTTCTAATATTTGCTCTTCTGTTTTTATTTTGTTTTTGTTTTTTCCTTTTTCTTAGTTGCCACGCCAGTAGTCTCCCCGTTTTATTTGCAGATTCAAAATATTTTTGCTTCATTGATTTGATTCTCCATTCTACTTCTTCACTTATTAATGTTGAATATTGTGTTTGCAAGATTTTAGAGATTTGTTGAGTCCTTTCATCCCTGGGGTTTATTATTAATTTTTTCTCACAATCTCTTAATTGATTAATAATTTCTTCTTTCTTTAGTTCTCTCCTTCTATAATTATTTTGTTGAATTAAGAATCCTCTTAAAACCGCCTTGCTGGCGTCCCAAACTATATCAATTTTTGTTTCTTTATTTAAATTTAAGTCGAAGTAATCTTTCAGGGTGCTTTTAGCCTTCTCAATCGTCTCATCATTTTCAAATAAGTATTCATTCATTCTCCACCTATATGGCCCAGATGATTTACATTTTATTTCCAAAACAATTGGGTTGTGATCAGAAAGGGTTCTGGGTTGTATTTCGTTGTTCTTGTAGATAGTTCTCTTGAGACCCATATCTGATCAATTCTGCCCCAGCTCTGATGTGGTTCTGAAAAATGTGTGAATTGTTTCGTTATTGGGTTTTTATGCCTCCAAATATCAATCAGATCTAGATTTTCCTCAAGGTTATTAAATGATTTTGGAAGTTTCCCTTGGTTCGATTTCCTCTTTTTTTCACTTCTGTCTAATTCTGGTATTGGTACTCCATTCAGATCTCCGAGCAGAATTAATTTATGATTTTCTAATTCTAACAATACTTGTTCCAGTTTTTTAAAAAACTCTGCTTTGTTTGTATTTGGGGCATAGACGGTTACCACATTAAATTTTTCACCTTGGTGGTTAATTTGAACTCCCAAAATTCTTCCTTCATCATCTTTGCAAATTAATACAGGTTCCCATTTCTCCTTGACGTAAATCACCAATCCTCTTTTTTTATTTACATCTGAATTAATAAATTCAACTCCCAACTTTTTATTTATCAGAAGAATAAGAAGAAGAGGAGGAGTTTGGATTTGATATCCCGCCTTTCACTCCCTTTAAGGAGTCTCAAAGCGGCTAACATTCTCCTTTCCCTTCCTCCCCCACAACAAACACTCTGTGAGGTGAGTGGGGCTGAGAGACTTCAAAGAAGTGTGACTAGCCCAAGGTCACCCAGCAGCTGCATGTGGAGGAGCGGAGACGCGAACCCAGTTCACCAGATTACGAGACTACCGCTCTTAACCACTACACCACACTGGCTCTCAATATATGTTTGTGTTTTTTGGCGACATGTGTCTCTTGACAACAAATCACATCATAATTTTTATTCCTCAAAACTTTCTCAATTTTATTCCTTTTAAATTTTTCATTTAGACCGTTTACATTCCAGGACAAAAAATTCAAAGACATTATTAAAATTAGTTTCTATTTGTTCAATTTGAATTTTCAAACTTGTGTTTTGGAGCTTCCGTTCCCTGTATATTCTTCCTCTTCTGCTTCTTCACCCCCCACAGCACCTTCTTCTTCTACTTCTTCTTCGTCTTCTTTCTCGTCCCATACCCCTCTCTTCTCTTTCTTTCCTCTTTTCTCGTTTTTGCTTCCCTCTCTATCTCTTAGCCTGTCCTCAACCTTACCAAGCTCTTTCTCATACCTTCTCAGGAATTTTTCCACCTCTTGGGTGTCTGTCAACTTAAATCTTTTGTCTTTAAAAAAGAAGGCAATCCCTTCAGGGAACTCCCATCTGTATTGTATGTCATTTCTCTTCAGAACGCCTACTATTTGTCTATATCCTTCCCTTTTACACAGAAGTCTAACTGGCATTTCTTTGAAAATAATAATTGGTCTGCCATCAATTATTAAATTTTTTTGATAACTCATTTTTAATATTAAGTTCTTCATCTCGATTGAATCAAAGATTACTAGACAGTCCCCAAGAGGTTTTTTAAACTTGTTTTGCTGGGATCTCATTCTTATTCTAAAAACGTTCTCTATCGTATATGCCACCTCTTCTTCTTTCAGTTCCAGCCATTTAGTTAACTCCTTAATCATTTTCTCTTTTATATTCTCCTTCGCTTCTTCTCCTACTCCTCTGAATTTTAAATGAAGTTGTTTCTGTCGCATTTCTGTCATCGCTAAGTTATCCCATATTTGCTCCTGCATTTTATTCACCTCTCTCATTTCTTCCTTTATTTTTTCTGTCTCCTTTTTCTGTTCTCTCCTCTCTTTTTATTAGTTTCTTCAATTGTTTTTGACTTGGCTGATAAGTCTTGAATTTTAATGGAAAGTTCTCCTACTGCTCCTTCTATCTTTCTGTCTATCATCTCCTGCACTTCTCCTAATTTATTTTCCATGTGTATTTCACTTTGTTTAAATTCCTCCTTAATTTTTAACCATAAAAAATCTAGATCTTTAATTTTTTCTTGTCGGGATGTCTTCCTTTCAGCTGGAGTCCCCCCTGCCTTTCCCCCGTTTTTCCCCGACATTGTATCCTTATTTTCACACTTTGTATTTTACAACTAAATCTCTCCCTTAAAGGGCTCACAGTCTCTTTCTTCTTTTTTTCGGAAATTTCCTTTTTTTTTTTAAAGCTCAGAAAACCCTTGTATAGAGGTTGTTAAGTTATACTCCTCAACCACATCCAAAAATATCTAGAATCTTATAGAATGTCTCGATCCAATATCTGGGCTGTATCTGCGGGTATGACTTCTGAATCTAATTTGCTACACTTTCAAATTATTCATCAATCCTTTATATACCAGAAGACAGATAACCTCATTAGGTGAGCCCTTTAAGTTCTCCCTTCCACTCCCTCAATCCCCAAATAAATTCAAAACATTTCTTCCGATTAGTTACTTTGGATATCTTGCTGTGTTCAATCAAATAGTCCTGTCTCACAAAAAATATAAATATTTTCCAAAGGCAGTAAGGATATAAACCCAATCATAAAGAAGAATTACCCAACAGTAATAATTAATCTAAGTAAATAACTGAGCACTCTTTTAGGCCCTAGGTCAAAATAAATCCAACCTCAACATGACTTAGATCCCAATTGAAGGTGTATACCATGACAGTATTGGTGGTGAAAAAGGTTTACTTCCCAATCAACCTTGCATCTGTTCAATGCCATTCAAATGAGCTGTTAAAAGGGTTGTATGGCCACCCAGTTGGTGATGCCATGGAACCCTCAGTTGTAGCTCATTGTGACTTGGTCAAACTTGGGTGCCGAATCAGTGTCAGGAACTAAACTGAAAGGCTTCCTGGGCTGTGCTAGTCGTGACTGGCTGTATAAGCTACAGTTGATTTCGCCTGACAAAGTGCTTGGAAAAATTTGCCTCATTGATGTGCTTCCTCAGCCTTTTCCCTTTTTGACTGCTACTAGCATACATACAGCAAGACACTGACAACCTTGTTCATCATCATCATTATTAATAAAATTTATATATGGTAGTGAATTGTTACTTAAATTTGTGGAATGCTCTCTCTAGGGAGGCTCGCTTGGCACTATCATTATATATCTTTAGCCACCAGGCAAAAACTTTACTCCATAGCCAGGCCCTTGACCTTTAACTATATGACCTTTTAGCAGTGGGTAAGGGACGTGGGTGGCGATGTGGGTTAAACCACAGAGCCTAGGACTTGCCGATCAGAAGGTCGGCGGTTCGAATCCCCACAACGGGGTGAGTTCCCGTTGCTCGGTCCCTGCTCCTGCCAACCTAGCAGTTCGAAAGCATGTCAACTACAAGTAGATAAATAGGTACCACTCTGGTGGGAAGGTAAACGGCGTTTCTGTGCGCTGCTCTGGTTCGCCAGAAGCAGTTTAGTCATGCTAGCCACATGACCCGGAAGCTGTACACCGGCTCCCTCGGCCAATAAAGCGAGATGAGCGCCGCAATCCCAGAGTCTTCAGCGACTGGACCTGATGGTCAGGGGTCCCTTTACCTTTACAAGTGGGTAGAATGTTTGTAATGTATTTCTTTTTCCCCTTTGTTTTAATGTGTCGGAGAGTCTTTTTTTTGTCTGGTTGGTTAGTTATAAGTTCCTTTGTGTTGCCTAGCCCATTGAAGGAGTGGGTAGCAAGATTCTTAATTATGAAACCGTCTTTGAATCCTACTGACCTTGGCAATTAGCAGTTAACTCACCTGGAATAGTTAGAATGGAGGCTGATAAGAACACCCATAATTCTTCTAGAAGAGGTAACCTTACTGAGTATTTATCACTGTCTGTTTGGGGTTTCAGCCCATAAGTATATGGGATATACTTTAGGGAAGCTTTTAATGTTGGATGGACTATTGTATTTTAATATTTTGTTGGAAGCCGTCCAAAATGGCTGGGGAAACCCAGCCAGATGGGCGGGGTATAAATAAACAAATAAATAAATAAATAGGGGTTGGTGAGAGCACACTAGTTTCAGAAGGCTTATCTTAAACTCCCCCGCGTTGTGATTTATTCGTTTTATTTAACAAAAATTATATAAAGCTTAATTGTAACAAAACTATAAGTGGTTTACAAGCAGTGATTTTGCTGTTTTGCTTCCTGACTCATTCATGGTGTTTTATTGTGCTATGTACTATTGTTTTAATATACTGTTTAATATGCTGCTCTGGGAGCATACATATATTGTAGTAGTAGTAATAGTGCATTTTCCCTAGTATGTGCATACACATTTTCTTGCTTAGAGTCACATTCCAAGGTATTTAGAAGCCTACACAGAGTGGGAGAAAATACCCGGAATTGGGAATTTGTAGCACTCTTGCTGAAAAGTGTTATACTCAAGCTTCACACAAAAGACATCATAAACTGTCTGGGACCAGTTTACTTACTGGATTGCCTTATTTTTTTAAAAAAAAAATTTTTTTTACTGAATTTTCAAATTATAACAACAAATTTCCCACAAATCTTAATTGAACAATTTATATACCCATATTTTCCCCCTCTCCCCTCTTTGGCTTCCCCCGTATTTCCGTATTGATTTATTAAACAAATTCTATACCCTGCTGGTTTTACCTCTTGTATAGTTGTGAAAGTTTAGTCAAAACCTGCCAATGGGTCCAAATCTTTATACTGTCTTTTTATATAGTTTATAAATGGTTCCCACTCCTTTTTGAAATCGATGTTGTCTCTCTCATGTATCCTCTCTGTCAGTTTAGCCAGTTCCGCGTAGTCCATAAGCTTGGCTTGCCATTCTTCCTTTATTGGCGTTTTCTCTGTTTTCCATACTTGTGCTAATAAAATTCTTGCAGCTGTTGTCGCATACATAAACAATCTCCAATTTCCCTCTCTTATATCATGATCTAAAATTCCGAGCAGGAAAGATTCTGGTTTTTTTAACAAAGGTTTTTTTCAACATTTTTTTCAATTCATTATATATCATTTCTCAATATTCTTTAACATTCTTGCATTTCCACCATACATGAAAAAAGTACCATCTTTCTCTTTGCATCTCCAACATATCTTAAGATCCTGTTTTATATATTTTTGCAATTTTTTCTGGTGTGATATACCATCTATATATCATTTTCAATTACATTTCTCTTAATAATATACAATCTGTAAACTTTAAATTTGTTTTCCATAATCTTTCCCATTCCTCCAACTGTATATTATGCCAAACATCCTGAGCCCATTTTATTTGTGCCGATTTTACCATCTCATCTAAAGTCTCTCCATATAACAAAATGTTATATGCTTTCTTCAGTAATTTGGTGTTTCCCACCACAATTTACTTTTGGAATTTTGAGATAGTATAACTGAATCCCCTTTTGCTATCTTCTTTAAACAACCTAAGGACTGCGTTCCTTCATAGGAGCTGCATGCCAGTGTTAAGTGGGCCAACAGATGTCCCTTTTATACAGTATTTATATTGTAAGCCACAGCCCAACCACGCAAATGCCAGCGGTTTCCACATGTGCATCTCTCCAGCCTGGCAAGCAACAGGCATTGTTACAGTTCAAAGACACATTGCAACCAGGCAAAAGAACTGGAGGGCTATGTGGCGCAGGGCCAAGGAGGGGTGTTGCCTGTGGGAAGTGGCCTTGGGGGAGCGGCATCCTGGGCTGGTCCCTTGAGTCGGCTAGACCTGGAGGTCACATTTGGCCCTCAGGCCTAAGAGATATGGAAAGGAGAAAGTTTGCAGAAAGAGAATGTCAAAGGGAAGGTATTTCCCTAGATCATAGAATGTAGAGTTGGAAGGGACAATGAGGGTCACTTAGTCCAACCCCATGCAATGCAGGAATCTTTCCCCCAACATGGGTATGATTATTAATTGCATCACAGTGTGCATTTTTATTAAAGTAATAGCAAAATATTGGATAATGGAAAGTGTTATAGCACTGTAACGATAATCTAAAAACACCACCTGGAAGCAACCTTAAGTATTGAGAACTAGCATCTTATTTCCAAACAAAATAAAAAAATTCCTTCCAGTAGCACCTTAGAGACCAACTAAGTTAGTTATTGGTATGAGCTTTTGTGTGCATGCACACTTCTTCAGATACCTTATTTCCAGTCTTTCAACCCTCTGTTATTGAGATGAGCAGAGAAGCTGGGAATTGGACTTGCATCAGACACTTGGGATTAGAGGAGCTTTGGAAAGCAGCAGCCACATTGAGGAGAGACAATAGAGCACATGCTTTGCATGCAGAACGTGTCAGTTTCAGTCTCTGGCATCTCCAGTTAAAAAGGATCAGGAGTAGGTATTTGTAAAATTTCTTGCCTGGGACCCTGGAGAGAATAAGACCAGATAATGCAGGACAAATGCTCTGGCATAAGTTTCCTAGGTTCTATAAACAGAAAAACTATCCTTCTGTTGTGGAGATTAGGCTGCTCATAAGAGAGAACTGGGAAGAAACGTAGGAGATGCTAGCTTTATTCTGACTTCCTGATCAATGCTCTCCATGCTGCAGTTAGTTCTGTTTTTAAGGCAGCATATGGATAAAGTTAATAAATAAATACTTTATTTGTTTACAAGGATCATAAAATTGAGAGTATTACTTCACTTCTCCCTCCCCCACCCATTTCCTTTCCTTGCATTTCTCTTTTAAAATTCCAACATTTCCTTTTCTTTGTATCTTCTTTACTTTCCTAGTCTCTTTTTGGCCCAGAGGCAGTTTTTTATTTGGCAACATGCTATCATGTGGAAGGATGATAAGGTGTCTAATTAATAGATTAATTAGTCGTACAATGTTCTTAATGGCCTATTACAGGAAAAATCATTCAGACATTTTCCCCTTGTTGTGTGATATAATTTATGGCTGGGTCATAGCATGGTTTATCAGCTCTTCGGCATGCTAAAGGGATGTTGCCAATTTAGGGTGGTTGTTGTTTCTGTTAATCATATGAATAATTGTTTTAGCAAGCAAATAACCTTTAGAATTTTTTTTTGCAATGGTGGGAACATAGCTGGGTGTGCTGGCTGGGGCTGATGGGAGTTGTACTTTCTCATTATTGCATGAGACCAAAATGGGAGACCTATAATACAGAGGTATTTGCATGATGGGAGATGAACCTGAGAATCTTGTGTACCTGAAGTTTTTGCAGTGGGGTTATATGTTATATAGCAGGCATGTCCAACAGGTCGATCGTGGTATCAAGTTAGTGATTGCCTTAGTGTTCCTTTTGTCAAATCTCCCCTAAAAAAAGCTCAACAACCCCTGGCAATGACAATGGGTAGATCACAGCCAGTCTTTTTATACTGTGAGTAGATCGCAGTCTCTTGGGAGTTGGACGTGCCTGACCTACAGAGTCATGGAGAACTACTGAAGTATATGAACTACACAGTAAATTGCTTAATGTCGATATAACAGTGATATTATCACTGTTGGATATTGTTAATTGACCTGTTTTATATGCTTAGATGTACTAGTAATTGTCGAACTGCCTATATGTTATAATGTATCAATATTGTAATTGTTATGTATGGTGTCTATGGATATTGTGCTCTTATTGTATTTACGGCTGCAGTCCTAAAACTTGGGGCGGGAGGGGGATACAGAGGCTATTAATCCAGCTTTTCCAATTACCTGTTGAGTGGAAATGAGGGCAGTAGAGTTCTGCAGATTTTTCTGCCTCTCTCCACCCCATTTCCTTTCCATTATCCCCATTTCCTCCGAGAGCTAAATACTGTAAATGGCAAAAAACCAGTGCCATCTTTTCTTTCAAGACAGCTCACAATTGAATAATATATCAAAACATATAAATTATTATTTTTTAATTAATGAACAAAATGAGCTACTACTGGAGAACCTTAATTATTTCAATCATGTTAATTGTATTTTTGTCAGCTTTATTGTGGCTAATAGTTTTCTTACTAAAAGTGGTACGGTGGGACTTTATATCTAGATACATAACTGATTAAAATTTAAGGTTGTCTTGAATGTTAGTTCTACTCAGAGAAGACACAATAAAAGTAATTAATATGACTAACATAGATCTTTTAATTTTAACAGGTCTGCTTTGAGTAGAACCAACATTAGAGACAACCCGTAGTAATATTTTATTCATTGGATTGGCAACCATATTTTAATTATTAGGTTTTGTTGTATTTCATACCACATTTATTTCTCATAGCCTGTCTATCTCCCCCTCCTTCATATTGTAATGACCTATGGTTGTAAGCAATACATATGAACTAAACTGAATAAAACAAAACAAAAACCTGAATAAAAAAACTACATACAATCAGACGTGTATAAATCATAAAAATGGAGCCAGTAAAAAAGAAAAAATCAGATATCTTAAAAAAGACCAATTCAAATAGCATTAAAAGCCTGAGAACAAAATGGACTTTGTCTGGCACCCAGATATGACATAGGTGCTAAGCGCACCTGCTTAGGATATAAATGCCATAATTTGGGCACCATTAAAGTACCATAATCTCTGGGTAGGTTTATACTGTACTTAGGAAAAAAAACACAGAAAACATAGAAAAAAACACTTGTGAAAAAAGAGGCTGGGGGGATCATCCTGCTACCTTTTGTTGTTTTTTAGTTGTGAAAGTTTATTTTATAATGAAGTTGAAAATACTAGGAACAAGGAACACCATGCACACTATTTAAAATATCAAAATGAATCCATCTGACAACATCAGGCACACACAATAAATATATATATATATCTGTCCTGTATAATAAACATAACATGCTGATGCTTGTATCTGAGGATTTTTGCTCAAGCACAAAATGTTCCTTATGTAGAATTCTGAGAACAGCATGATATATAGGAGGAGCTATTCACAGGGATTGGGAAAATTTTATTTATTTATTTAATATATTTGAATGCTTACTGAGGTTGATGGGAGTTGTAGATCAGGAACATCTGAACACCCAAAGGTTCCCTACACCTGCTTTAATATGGCATCCTATTACTAACACCCTGCTCTTAAAGTTAAAGGTCCCCAACTTCAAAATGCTGGAGGTAGAGTCTACCTTTATCATCAATGCTTTTCTTTCAACTTTTTTTTCTCATTCTTCAAAGAATAAATAAAACCCCTCTCCACACAGGAAAGATGTAGCTCCTGTTTTGAGTGTGGTTAAGCTTAAAAATGAAATCCTATTCATTTTTCTGGGAGTAGGCCCCACTGAATACAAACAGATTTACTGTGAAGTAAACCTGTCTCAAGGCTGCACCAATTTGAACCACCAGGTGGGACTGAATGCTATTTCATTTAAAAAATAATAATTCCTCATAAGGCACAATGCTGGAGAGAAGTTTTATCCACCTGCTCTATATCTTGCTAGTTTTCTTTCTGCAGGAATACATCATTTTTAGTTTTATGGCTGGTGCAGAGTATTCAGTTTCCCACATTCAGTTATGACCCTCACCTTCAGTGAGAACTAGGCATTACTGTGCGGCTGCAATCCTGACCCCACTTACCTGACAGCAAGCCCCACTGAATTAAATAGGTTTACCACTGACATGGTTAGAATTGCAAAGAATTGTGCAGTACAAAAGTTGCAGAGTCATGATACTGAAATGCATAATCTTTGGAACTGGGTGAGGAAAATCAGCTATTTCATTGGATTAGTTTTTTCCATCTGCTCTTTAAATCTTTCTAACTCCACCTGCTTTTATCTCCCCCACCCCTTTCATTTTTACTTTTGTATTGTGTATATAAAATTGTGTTCTTGTGGGCAGAGACTATTATTTCAATATCTGAGAAGCACTTGGAAAATTCTGCGTGGTATGTAACAAAAATAATATAATACTATATAATGCAATCTGTTTATAACTTGATACAATTCTATGATTCCTGTGCGAATATTACAATATCTGAGTTTGTTTAATTTCTAAGCCCACTTAGAACTGATCGCTTTCTCCGTTCAGCCAATAAGTATACGGAGGTGTACCGTGCTGAGCCAATAGCAGAGCTGGGTTGCTTTTGCAGCACTTTTTCATTCCTGAAACAAGCACACTCAGAATGGTGGGAGGCAGGAAGTTCTTGTGCTTAGCGGGGTCGGAGTGTACTTGCTGAAGAGCGGTACATCTTCGCCTCCACGCATGGACATGCTTTAAAAAGACAAGACAGAAATGAATACAGCAAGTAGGCGGCATAGAAAAAGGAGACCTTGATCGTCATCTGACGCAGTTTGCATTGCGGAACAGTGGAGGGAGCCAGCGAAGAAGCCAGGAGAGGCGCGTAAACAAAACATGCCTGCGCCTCGTTTGGATGGAGTCGCCGGGTAAGGTTTGTGCAAAATCTCATTACCGGAGGCTTGCGATGAACTGGCACGCAAGGAAGTAGATTTGATAATTACAAGGGGGACCTGTAACTTAAAACTGCATGTAGGCGGAGGAAAGGAGAGGTCTACTGGAATGACGCTCCAGGAATCTGCAGTATGTTGGAAGAGGCGACGTGGTTGACCTTGCGAAATATGTCCTGAACAGTTCAAGATGAAAAACAAATGAACGCCACGCAAGGAGGTAAGGTCGTCGATCCAGTGCGTTGTTAGGAGCCTTTTAAGAACGTTAGAAGACCAGCTGCTGGTAGTTTTGACTCGCCCTGTGATGATTTTGAAGATCTTCACTTTAATTTTGCTTGCAGCCTTCCTGGTTGACGAGGAAAACCTTCCACGTGATGTGACTTGAAGGGTTTCAAGCTGCTGTTCCAGCACAAGGACATTCTGTGCGAAGGCCTTTTTATGTTTAGCCGCTTCCAGGTCTCGCTTTTGGAATATATCTGTGGCCTTTTTTGATGCGTGCAAAGGAGGGGGGGGCGGGTCTGTTTTGTTCTTTTGTTTTTCCGAAACTAGCGAGAGCGGCAAGTGACCCACTTAAGACGGGCGGCCGCGTGGTGGAGCCGCTCTGAAAAGCAGGGAACCGCTCCTGCTGCCGTCCTGTTGCGGGAGAAAAGGAAGAGCGCTCTGCAGCTCGGAGAGAAACGTTCTGTTCCGTCCGCTGCCGCCGTTGCCGAGGCAATGACAGCGCCGACGATGATGCAAATAGTGTAACCGGTTCAAGAGGCGCGCAAGCGCCGCCCACCTCGCCAGGAACCTCCATGCTGGGCTCTCAGGCGCACTTTCGACGCTTGCCGAGCGGGGTTGCCGGATAAAAGTCGCACTTCTGTATTGCTATGGGGAGAGAGAGAAGGGCGGGCAGTCTTGCTGCGGAACTGCAGCGGCTGCAGTTCCAAAGTTCTGTTTCTATAGCAATGGTCCCTTTCCTTAGTACCCTGAGTTTCTGGGAGTGATTTAAAAAGCATTTTGACAGCTATGCAGCGGAGGATCTTAAGAGTTGCATGGCCTGGGCATGTTTGGTAGGAGTAGTAAATTCAGTGGGGCATACTCCTAAGTCAGCGTCTAGGCAAAACATTTCCTGCCCTAAAGATTTTAGGATCAAATTTCCGGGAGACTGCAAAGTGTAGACAAAGAAACCTGCAATTGTTCTGTGGTTTATCGTGTGCTTGTTGATAACATGAGGCATAAGCAAGCTTTCCAGTAAAACAGAATTCTTTGGGAGGTGTAAGGAGTCTGTGGTGTGTTTGTTTTTTCCATTCTTCTTTCTTGTTAGAGATTTAGAGGGTGCTTTCCGTGGACATGAGCTTTTAACCAAGGCCACATTGCTTTGAGCTTTCTAGAGCTGCTTGTAGGCCAGCTGAAACTGGCATTGGCAAAAGTAAGCTGCTTTCAAAAAGTTGCTTTTCCCCCTGGCGACAGAAATTGTGAGTTTGAGGGAAATTATTGAAGAAGATGAAAACTTGCATTTATCTGAAGATGCACTCCCCCCCCCCCCAGCGTCAGAAGAGCTGACATGTTGGCATTACCAGGGAATAAATACTTTTATAAAGCATCTTGGCAAAGTATTAGGGGTGTTTTTTGTTCAGTGCCTAGCAGACCACTCATAATCCACCCCCCCAACGCGTTCTTTAACTTGCACAAGATTAGGAAAATGCAGTGTAGCAGCATGGTATCACGTATATAGAAAATATAAATATTTGGTCCTGGTGGCTGCAGTTGATTATAGCACAGAATCTAATACGGGAAGTTAGTTTGGTTACCGTGTCTTTCAGTTTATTTTGATGACTTTAGGGTGGGGGCGTTTTCAACAGAAACCCAAAGTCATCTGGGTCACTTATATCTCCATAAATGCTGCTGACAAGTGCCAGAGTCAGTCTTGCGGAATGGAGACAAATTCTAGAAGAAAGGTGATGTTAGTCAGCAGTATTAAGAGCAGAAGACCTTTAGTGCTACTAAGGAAACCATGTTGTTGGTTGTGATATGAGCTCTTATCGTATGAAGGCTTCATTTAATGACGATTAGACTTGTTGATTAAGGCACCTTGTTTTTATAGACAACAGACTTCAGGTGCCTCTGAAAGCTTTATTTTCTTAATATTTTGTTTTTTTTCTGTGGGGGAACTGAATAGATGGTTCCGTCACTAAGCCATATTTTGAGTTACTATTTGTATAAACAGGATCTATCTTGTATTCTAAATCTAGTTTGTCATTTTGACAGTGGTTTATTCCTATTTGCCGTTATGTCACATAGTTGAGCTTCCTGATTATAGGAAAGGGTACATTATATACAATTTCATTGTTATAATTTTTAGTAATTAAACCTTATCAAACTAATAAAATAGTAGAAGTCTTATAAAATATTTAATATTGCAGATATTTAGGATACAATCTACCCATATTTGATCACTGATAAAGCTCACTGATTTTGGGAGAGGCATTATCAAGCCAGTTAGCAAGTTCCAAATTAAAACAACATTAAGCCACATTATAAGAGTATGAAACATTGCAAACAAAAAAATCTAAAGGTAATAGTGACTTAGTTAAGGGACATGTTTTGATTCTCTGAATGTTTCTGACTTGCTATTTTTGAGAGTGATTGTTTCCTATTCACACTACTTTTAATAAGAGAGTAGGCTAGTTGTCTGCAAGGAACCCTAATTTTAAAAACAGGAGCTCTTTAATCATTTATGAAGCTAGTAAACCTCTATATATCACTGTGTGTGCTAGATTTTCAGAATGATTTCCTAACAGTACTGTTGGTAGCATTGAAGAGCTATATTTCTGAAGTACTGTAGGTGGTTCTAAAAATCACCATATCAGTATTGTGCCAATGTACAGAATGGATGCTGCTGCTGTCTAATAACAACAGCAAGCGTTCCTCAGAACCAGGAAAAATATACAAGGTAGCTACACCACCCTCATTTCACAGAAATTGCTTAAAAGGTACCTGCATATTTTGCCCTGTAATTTTCTTTCTAGGAGCGCTAGAGGCTTACTTTTTAAAAATGAAAGCTCAGAGTCTGAGGCACTTTCCTGGGGCACCACTGGAAGCCCTCGTGGGCACACTGGGTTGGTGACTGCTGCCTTATAAGAACCAGAAGCAAATAATAGTCAGTGTAGTTAGCGTTCACTTTTCTTTATACTGTACAGTCGTACCTTGGTTGTCAAACTTAATGCATTCCAGGAGTCCATTTGACTCCAGAAACGGTTTGAAAACCAAGGCGCACCTTCCAATTGGCTGCAGGAACTTCCTGCACTCAGTCGGAAGCCACGGAAGCTGTGTTGGACGTTCAGCTTCTGAAAAACGTCTGCAAATCAGAACACACAATTCCGGGTTTACAGTGTTCGGGAGTCAAATCGTCCCGAGTACCAAGGCATTTGAGAACCAAGGTATGACTGTACTTTATTTATGAAAGAGTTGTTTTCAGTATGGTCAGCTTTTCAGTGTTTAACGAAAGTAGAGGCTGGCAATAAGGCTGACCAGGATTTTGATATTTTGGGTCCTACACCTTTAAACTGTTGCCTTGCATGGCACCTGCCCAAATCTCCAACTTTCTGCACAGCAGTTCCAGAAGCCTTGATATAATTTTGCTTGGTTTTATCTAGTTTTTAGGAAATTTTATTGAATATTATTGTTGTATAGTACTGTGTGTTTATTGCTTTTGTGGAAACGAGCTAGATATTTGTTATTATAAATAAATAAGATTATGTGGATAGCTTGGCTACCTCAGGTTTGGATTATTACATTTCCTCAAATCAGAAACAGTAAATTTTGCCGTAGGCCCCCATCACCATAACTTTTTGGTATAAAAATATATGCATTCAGGTTGGCAGTAGGATACACTGACATTTAATAAAGAGAGAAGTGGTCTTGCTTGAAACCAGCTGCTCAAGACAAAGCAAACACTTGCTTAGTTGATTTCTATCTCCTGTCCCACGGCTACGAGCACTTCAGCCTTGGCCGTTTTGTTCCAGGACAAATAACAAAGCCAGAGGAATAAAAAACAAATCATGTGAAAAGCACTTGGGGGCGGGGAGGATGTTACCATGGCAATAAGAAAGTCAAGTATTATTTTTCCCATGAGATATTGGAAGGTTGTGGTTTCAGTTCTGAAATGAGTTTCATTTCTTTCTCCCCCTTCCCAATAGTGTTTAACTGTATTATTATCATTATTTTATTTACAGTGGTACCTCGGGTTAAGTACTTAATTTGTTCCGGAGGTCCGTACTTAACCTGAAACTGTTGTTAACCTGAAGCACCACTTTAGCTAATGGGGCCTCACGCTGCCGGAGCACGATTTCTGTTCTCATCCTGAAGCAAAGTTCTTAACCCAAGGTACTATTTCTGGGTTAGCGGAGTAACCTGAAGCGTATGTAACCTGAAGCATATGTAACCCAAGGTACCACTGTACTAAATTTGTATACCACCTTTCATTCTAGGATCCAAGGGCAGTTCACAACAGAAAAATACAAAATGAGAACACAAATTGCATAATAAAACAAAAACCAATAATCCTCCTCCCACAAACACATTTAAAATGCCATATAATGTTAATCATTCAAAGGCCTGGTTAATAGGGAAATGTTTTCGCTTGATACCTAAAGGTATGTAATGAAGGTGCCAGGTGAGCCTCCCTGGGGAGAACATTCCACAAACCACCGCAAAATGCCCATTCTTGTGTTGGCACCCTCCAGACCTCTTGTGGAAGAGGCACACGAAGAAGAGCCTCAGGTGATGATTGCAGGTTCTGGGTCAGTTCGTATGGGGAGAGGTAGTCCTTGAAGTATTGTGGTCCTGAGCCATCTGAAGCTTTACAGGTCAAAACCAACAGTTTGAATTGTTCCTGAAAACTAATTGACAGCCCATGCAGTATCCCTAATCTGTCCCGATTGCCCAGTGCCAGGAACACACACTCTAGATTGCTCCCGCCTCCCAACTGGACAGAGAGCCTGGAGAGAGAGATGGAATCTTTCTAGACTACAACAATTTCCCCTCCCCGACCCTTAGGTCTGCCCTGTTGCTGCACCGAGTACCCAGCCAGCTGAGCACAGTTGGGTGAGACCAACATCACCCTGTTCAGCCCCCCCCCCCCGATCTCCGTGATACAGACCAGATCGGCCTCATCCACAGTCAGATCCTGGATGAGGGAGGCCTTACTCAGAATCAACCTGGCATTCAGCAACAGCAGAGGCAGACCTAAGAGCTGCTTGATAGGACATTTGCAATTTCCCAGGTTGGAGGAGGGGCTGGTGCATGGCACGGCCACTCACTGCCTGTACCATGTGCCCTTACCTGTCCTGCCCCAACCCCATGCCTTCCCTTGCCCAGAACCACTGCGATTGGGGTGTTTAAGCGTATGTATTCTGTTGCTTCCAAAACTGAGCTCTGGGGGAAATTACTTGGTCTTGATGCTCATGTCGAAGGATGTGTAGCATGCGCACCTGCATTGCCAGTCTTTATGTGGTGAGTGGGGAGAAAGAAACATGTCATGTATCTGTAGCCTTACTATGACTTCAGAACATTCCTTTTGCCTCATCACATGCAGTGCTTCTCAGGAGGAAACTTAGTGCCCTGTGTCTGAAGGATTATTAGGTCTCTGTGCTTGTGCTTCAGTTGAAACTGCCTGTCTTTCAGGAGTAAAATCGTAAATTCGGAGTATGATCTAGTGCCAGGCTTATGGTAGGAAGAGTTTCCACGCTACATTAGGCTCATTTCTTTCTAATACTTTTCACCATGTGGAGAGTTGTAAAGGCCCTGGAGGGGTTAACTGTGTGCCTTATTCTCGTGCTATACTCAAAAGGTACCACACATTAGCAGAAATATTGATAGAGCTGCTTTCTGCATGCATGATTGTGTGTGTATTACCAAAAATAAGTGCAGTTAACTTTTCAAGGCATGCATCTGTTTATGTGGTGAGCAGCATCCTAGCAAAATGCATCTGCAGCACTACAAAAAGTTAAGTGTTTATATGTAGTACATTTATTCCCCTCCCCAAGTGCTTAATCTACATCTTACAGTACATTGAAAAGGCACACTGAATCCAAACAATGCTGATGTTCTACATCATATAGGGGTATATCGCAGAAATGTGCCATGTGACGTCTTAGGCTATAATCCTATGTACACATGCCTGAGAGTGATCCCTATAGAACTGGATGTAGCTTACTTTTAATATGCATGGATAGAAGTGCACTGTTAACGAGTTAAACATATTTATTTGTCCTGACCGCAGCAATATTGTATTGATGCCCTGAGTTTTTGAATAAAAATATACTTAGTAAGACCAAAACTAATGATAAAAAGTGAAAAACTAATTAAAACTGATATGTCTGGCCTTGAAGGGTGTTCTATTGTTTTGCTACCTGGGTGATGGGAAAAGAAGCAATTGCAGGTTCTTTTTTTAACACTGATAATACAGTCATATAACATTGTTTGGAATGGCAAGCAGGCAGTCTATATCAGTTTTTTTACTCAGCAGTATTTTTACTGCTGATAGTCACTGCTGTTCCTAGTGACTAAATCAAATACTCTTCTTAAAGCTCTACTTTCAAGCCTATTCTGTGAGCTTCCTGTTTCTTGTATAATTGTAACCAATTTTCTTGACACACCTCTTTCTGGTTGCCAAGTAACCAGTCATATTGCTAGGAATCCATATTGCTATGGTATCCTCCTTTCTGTTTCTCCCGCCACCCCACCTCTATTTAATTTTCTGCTTTAATTAATCAATTTTATAAAGCAGAAACATCTAGGTTTGTCCTTGTGAACACAAGACACTGATATAATATATGTAAGAACGACAGCTGATGATTAAGGATATGATTTTAGGTGACGTGTGTGTTGTAATCAACTAAACAGGCCCCTTGCTATGAGAATTCAGGTTGCTACGGTTACCTATAGAAACTAGGACTTTGGGTTAACTCAGGACATCGATGCACAAAGCTCAGTATCTCACGTCCCTCTACACCAGCACAGATAACGTGTCATTGCCTCTGTATCTGACTCCATATCCAGTACATCATTTATAGGTTAGCTTTCTGAAAATTACTATATAGAATTAATCATATAACAGTTTGCAACAGAACAGAACTGGGATCAGCTTTAAAAAAAACAAAAAGGGACTGGACTGACCAACTGAAGTACTTAAATTCTTAAAGCCAAGCCTCTGCTTCTCTAGTGTTCAGCTGTGTACACCTTACCATTTACTCCAGTGCAATTCCACTGCTAGTTTTTGAAGCCACATGACATTGGCCACAATCCATCTGTATGCCGTAGTTTCCTGAGAAGTAGTGCTGATTGATAATGTTTTCTCCCAAACCAGCTTCCAGCTGATTTGAAAACGTAACCCCCAGTTAAGGTGTGTACATTTTTGTGTGCCTCCTCCACGAGAGGTCCGGAAGGTGGCTATACAAGAACGAACCTTTTCTGCAGTTTCTCCTTATTTGTGGAATGCTCTCTCCAGGCAAAAACTTTCCTCTATAACCAAGCCTTTGGCCTTTAACTATTTGTGGCCTTTTGGAAGAGCACAGGTTACCGTGCATGTGCAAAGGACAACTTCATTGAAAAGGGGTTCTGGGGCAGAGGGTTATAGCTGTAGGGAAACAAATCAAGTAATCAGTGATGGTGTGTACAACAATGTAAACAGTGGGGGGAAACAACCTCACTGTGTTTCAAGCCGCTAATATGTACATGCCCTCAGACTTTGAGATCTGTATCCCAGTATAACAAGCTCTCCCTGGAGGGAGTTCAGGTATCTTATGGGTGGTCTTGATAATGTGAGTCACCACAAAACAAGATCACAATAGAATTTTAAACATGTATAAATAAAAACTAATTGAGGCAGTGAGAAATCAAGCAAGGATTAGATTATTTACATGCTACACATTTCTTAATAACTACACATTGGATTTCAACATCTTCCCGATTAATTAGTTAATCTAAAATCAGTATGTCAAAAATGAGTTTAGCTTTGCAGTAATAAAAGTAAAATAGAACACATTTTAAAGTAACCGTTAATGTAACATTAACAGTTGCATTTTTATCATTGGTTAATTATGTTTATTTGTTTCAGCCACGGGCCATAACAAAATTACAAACAAATTCAGACATAAAATCAGAGGAAGAAGTACAGCAGCAGATAATAAACCAAAAGGGGAAAAATATTATTAGCACCACAGGAATAACTTAAGGTTACCAGACATCCTCATTTTCCGGGGACAGTCCCCGGATTTACAAATCAGTCCCCATACAAAATCCATTGAAGTTGAAAAGTGTCCCCGGATTCATTGAAAAAAATCTGGTAACCTTAGAATAACTGTCCTTGGGGAAATCCAGGTTATATGAAATTACATAAACATCTGGATCAGTGGTTGCCACCCTTTTTGAACCGGTGGGCAAATTCTGAATTTTGAGAGTGCAGTGGGCACCAATCCCAAACTAGCTGCTATGGAGGCATGGCATAACCCAAAATGGCTGCTATGGGGACAGAGCATTACATAGCATGGCTACCACGGGGGGGGGGGAGAATGTTTGAAGAGGAAAAGGTATATTACAGGGGAAGGATAGCCTTGGAAAGAATTCCATCATAAATATCTAGTGCTGTTAACTGAGGTTTGTGTAATAGAGTGTTTGTTTACAACCATTGCTCTTCTTGGAAGCTAGTCTTTATTAGCTGATGGTTGCTTGACTGACGTATAAGGCACTGACTCTGGCTGGGA